ATGAGTCGATGGTCGTCCCTATCTTTAAAAAGGGTTCGCGTTGTTCCTGTGATAACTATCGGGGGATAAGTCTTCTGCCGATTGCGTCCAAACTATTGGCTTCTGTCATTCTTCGTAGGTTGTTTAAAACCCGAGAACGATTGACTCGCGAGGAGCAGGCTGGTTTTCGTTCTGGTCGAGGATGCATTGATCACATCTTCTTACTTACTTACTTACTTACTTTCGCCTGTTACTCCCAATGGAGCATAGGCCGCCGACCAGCTTTCTCCAACCCACTCTGTCCTGGGCCTTCTTTTCTAGTTCTTTCCAGTTCTTGTTCATTCTTCTCATGTCTGTCTCTATTTCTCGGCGTAATGTGTTCTTTGGTCTTCCTCTTCTCCTTCGACCTTCAGGATTCCATGTGAGGGCTTGTCTTGTGACACAATTAGGTGATTTCCTCAAAGTGTGTCCTATCCACTTCCAACGCTTCCTCCTGATTTCTTCCTCTGCTGGAATCTGGTTTGTTGTCTCCCACAGTAACTTGTTGCTGATAGTGTCTGGCCATCGGATCCGAAGTATCTTGCGTAGACAGCTGTTAATAAACACTTGTATCTTCTGGATAATGGCTTTCGTAGTTCTCCACGTCTCTGCCCCATACAGAAGAACTGTCTTGACATTTGTATTGAAAATTCGAACCTTGGTGTTTGTTGACAATTGTTTTGAGCTCCAGATGTTTTTCAGCTGTAGGTATGCTGCTCTTGCTTTGCCGATCCTCGCCCTCACATCTGCATCTGATCCACCGTGTTCATCAATGATGCTGCCCAGATATGTAAAGATTTCCACATCCTCCAAGGCTTCTCCGTCAAGTGTAATTGGATTGGTGCATATTGTATTGTATCGGAGAGTCTTGCTTTTCCCTTTGTTTATATTGAGACCTACCGCTGCTGAGGCTGCTGCTACACTGGTCGTTTTCTCCTGCATTTGTTGTTGCGTTTGTGATAGAAGAGCCAGATCATCCGCGAAGTCTAAATCGTCAAGCTGCATCCTGCCTGTCCACTGTATCCCGTGATTTCCTCCAGATGTTGACGTCTTCATAATCCAGTCGATCACCAGGAGAAAGAGAAAGGGTGAGAGTAGGCAACCTTGCCTAACACCGGTCTTTACTTCAAACGAGTCGGTGAGTTGTCCTCCGTGGACGATTTGGCAGTTTAGTCCATCATAGGAGTTCCGTATGATGTTGACTATCTTCACAGGCACGCCGTAGTGTCGAAGAAGCTTCCATAGTGTCGTCCTGTCCACACTATCAAATGCCTTCTCGTAGTCGATGAAGTTGATGTAGAGTGATGAATTCCATTCGATTGATTGTTCCACAATGATCCGCAGAGTTGCGATTTGATCTGTGCACGATCTATCCTTACGAAATCCAGCTTGTTGATCTCGAAATTGGGCGTCCACGGAATCCATCATCCTGTTTAACAATACTCGGTTGAAGACTTTTCCTGGTATTGAGAGGAGAGTGATGCCCCTGTAGTTGTCGCACTTGCTCAGATCGCCTTTCTTTGGTATCTTGATCAGAAGTCCTTCTTTCCAGTCTGTTGGTACTTGTTCTTCGTCCCAAATCTTACTGAAGAGGATGTGGAGTATCTTGGCAGTTGCTGTCACATTTGCTTTCAGTGCCTCTGACGGGATGTTGTCTGGTCCCGCTGCTTTGCCACTCTTGACTTGTCTAATGGCCATGCTGATCTCTTCAATTGTTGGTGGGCCAATATCGATTGGGAGGTCTGTGGGTGCTGCTTCGATGTTGGGTGGGTTCAGTGGAGCTGGTCGATTCAAGAGTTCTTTGAAGTGTTCTACCCACCTGTTTCGTTGTTCTTCAATATCGTTGATTACTTTGCCTTCCTTGTTTTTCACTGGTCTTTCTGGTTGACGGTAATTTCCAGCAAGTTTCTTTGTTGTATCATACAGTTGTCTCATGTTTCCCTCTCTTGCAGCCTTTTCCGCTGTCATCGCTAAATCTTCCACATATTTACGTTTGTCGGTCCTGATGCTCCTCTTCACTTGCTTGTTTGCCTTTGTGTATTCGGCTTGTGCCTTGGCTTTTTCTACTCTTGTTCGGCTGATATTGATTGCTACCTTCTTGTTCCTCCTTGCTTCAATTTTATCCAGTGTACCAACAGTGATCCATTCCTTGTGATGGTGCTTCTTTTGGCCCAGAACCTCCTGACATGTTGAAACGATTGCCTCCTTGATACCTTTCCAGTTGCTCTCTATGGTGGTTCCTTCTCCATTGAGTAGGTCATGAAAGGCCTCGAACCTGTTGCTGAGGGCTATGTTAAATTCGTTGAGTTTGTCAGCATCTCGAAGAAAGGCCGTGTTAAACTTTTGTGATGTTGTCCGCGCCATTGTCCAGTGCTTCTTGAGTTTTAGTTTCATCTTGGCGACCAGCAAATGGTGATCGGATGCTATATCAGCTCCTCTTCTGGTTCTCACATCCTCCATCGTCCTCCTGAACTTTTTGTTGATGCAGACATGGTCGATTTGATTCTGTGTAGTGTGATCCGGTGAAATCCAAGTGGCTTTGTGTGGGAATATGGTGCCACCTATGACCAGTTTATTGAAGGCACATAGGTTTGCAAATCTCTCACCGTTTTCGTTCCTTTCTCCCAGTCCATGTTGTCCCATGACGTCTTCGTATCTAGTGTTGTCCTTTCCAACCTTGGCATTGAAATCTCCCATTAGAATGGTCAGGTCCTTGGTTGGGCACTTCTCGAAGATTGACTGCAGCCTATCGTAGAATTGGTTTTTAGCGTCTTCATCGTAGTCGTTGGTCGGCGCATAGCATTGGATGATGTTCATTGTAATGCCCTCTCTCTTTGTTCTGAAGGAGGCTTTGATGATCCTCGGTCCATGAGATTCCCATCCTATAAGTGCATTTTGTGCTTTTTTAGACAGCATCAGTGCCACTCCTTGTGTATGTGGGGCATTTTCTTCTTCATGACCGGAGTATAACAGAAGTTCCCCTGAAGACAGTCGTTGTTGTCCAACCTGCGTCCAATGTGTTTCACTGATTCCAAGCACTTCCAGGTTGTATTTCCTCATTTCCGCAGAAATTTGGAAGACTCTGCCGGTCTCCTACATTGTCCGGACATTCCATGTACCTATAAAAATTGTCGCTCTGGTTGTAAGAAGGTGCATCGGCCTCATGACTTCCGAATGAACTCGGCTTTCATCATGAGACGTCATTTTTCCTTCTACTCCCAGGGCAGAGTTTGAATGGTTTGAATGAATTTTTCTGGTTAGCGTTTTTTTAGCGAGTTGATTTTCTACGGGATGGGGTCGCTAACCCCATGCCCAACCCTCCTCCTTTACCCGGGCTTGGGACCGGCAGTAGCCCCTGGAGGAGCTACAGGCGGAGTTGATCACATCTTCACCCTCCGCCAAATGTTAGAACACCGTCATACTTATCGCAGGCCAACAATCGTAGTGTTTCTTGATATCAGGGCTGCCTTCGATTCGTTGGACAGGACTGTTCTCTGGGATTGTCTATTGAAGAAGGGTGTGCCTGAGAAGTTCATTAACATCTTACAGGCCCTGTATACGAACACCTCAGGCAGAGTGAGGGCATACAACCACCTTTCTCCCTTGTTCCATTCGAGCAGTGGGGTTAGGTAGGGTTGCCCAATCTCACCATTCCTCTTCAACTTTGGCATCGACGACATCCTAGAAACAGCTCTGGTGGATGTAAGTAATGGCGGTGTGGATATGTTGCCTGGAGAACGGCTTCTCGACCTTGAGTATGCGGATGATATTGTCTTACTGTGCGATAATGCCCAAGGCATGCAATCAGCACTTAATCAGTTGGCAATCAGTGTCCGCAGGTACGGCATGTGCTTTGCACCCTCCAAGTGCAAAGTACTTCTACAAGACTGGCAGGATTTTAATCCTGTACTCACCCTGGATGGTGAGCAGATCGAAGTAGTTGAGAAGTTCGTGTATCTAGGTAGCTATATAAGTGCTGGAGGTGGCGTGAGTGATGAGATTGATGCACGTATAATGAAAGCCAGAGCGGCTTATGCCAATCTGGGCTATCTTTGGCGCCTTCGTGATGTTAGTCTGGCTGTAAAAGGTCGGATCTATAACGCGTCGGTGAGAGCAGTTTTGCTCTATGCTTGTGAAACCTGGCCTCTCCGAGTTGAGGATGTTAGACGTCTCTCTGTGTTCGATCATCGTTGTCTCCGAAGGATTGCTGACATCCAGTGGCAACACCATGTTAGTAATGCAGAGGTTCGGCATCGTGTGTTCGGGCACAGAGACGATAATTCAATTGGTGTCACCATCTTGAAACACCGACTTCGGTGGCTTGGACATGTTTTACGAATGTCGTCCCAGAGACTTCCACGTCGTGCATTATTTGCCGACCCTGGGACTGGTTGGAAAAAGCGGAGAGGAGGTCAGTGTATGACATGGTGTCGTGGCATGAAAGAGAGCTGCAAAGGGCTAGCTTCTGTTGGTCCTTCACGACTCCTTGGTTGGGGTCCGAGAGATGGTGCAACACAGTGGCTAGAGACGTTATCAGATATGGCTCAGAATCGAAGTCAGTGGCGATCCTGCTGCAACCTTCTTTTACTTTCTACATAAAGAGTGGTTCTAACTTTCCTAACTGAGAGAGCTCTTCTGTTTGTACATTCAGTTCCCCCCATCATTACTCTTCTCCTTTTCTTTTTTCCCTTCTTTTATATATACGCATCTCCTTCTTTCTCCCATTCTCATTATTTTGTGTGGCGCATATGTATCCGGTGCCCTATGTACCAATATATATGTGATTAAATAAATAAATTAATTAATTTGCCAACATTGTCCTCATTTACTATCAATCCCCTTGAGATGGTTTCCTGGGATGTAAAATCTGGAACTGACTTGTATTATGTTAGCAGATAATATAATTCGTTTGTCTGTTTTGTATTACTACTAATTTACATCATCATAATACTGTCTTTACTTGTTTCACTTCTATACTTTAGTTCGATGAACAAACCGAATTCAAATGTCCTACGTTCATCACAGTTAAATGAAGTGAATGCTTCATCTAACAAAGTAATGTACATCAACAGTTTTTTTTTATTTTCAAATTCCATGGTTATGCTTACTGGTGTGATGAGAAATCTATACTCCAATATTATACCAAATTACATATAGGGTGTGTTGTTTCAACCATATAAGGTCGTTCATTTGTGATAATTTTGAAAATTAGCTGGGTTTTTATTATTTTGATGACTAGTGTTATCAGTCCTAGTTCCATAAATGAATAATAACTTAAGCTTCTATACCGAATAGCCACTGTGAGATCACACGAACATGAGGAATGACATTGTATTCAAGATGACATACTACCAATAATAATGAAAAGAACTGTAAACATCGAGAAGTTGGTTATAACAAGTCAATCCATTGTTTCATTTAGCCTTATGAGACCCTGCTTGTTAAACTACCTATATATGTTTGTCGATAGTTTCCAATGATGTCATTTTGCGAAAGCTAACAAGAAGCGATTTTGACGGTTCTCATTTTATCAGATTACTACTAACCAAGTTGCGTTTTTATTCATTGATATTTACTAAATGATAGTTAATTATCCCACTATTTGTATTCTACAGATGCCAACTTCATCAAAACAGACTGGTAAAATTACAAAACAATGTAAGACAAATAGTCTCAGTTCAGTTGTTACAAATCAAGAATCTAACATACGCTTAGTTTCTATGGATTACGACAGTGAAAGTACAGATAATGACAATATTACTATTAAAGATAAATCTTCCTGTGATATAATCGATTCTACTACAGAATCTGTAGAAAAAGTAAGTTTTTGATTATGATGATCGAAGGTATAGGATATGTAACTTGTGTTTTACACCCTGTTCATTTCATTTCTAAGACAAATTCATAACGTAATGAGTTATTTCATAGTGCTCCTGAAGCATATAAACGTAGGCAGACAAAAGAATATACTACACATATTTTCTGCTATTCAGATTTAATAATGACAAATTACACAGTCACTCATACTTGTCTTGTTTTGAAGATGGCAAGGGATTGTATAATAACAATAACACGAAAATGAATTCATAGATTTGTCATCATTGAAACTTAGAATAGAATAATAATCCTACATCTGCTTTCCTTTCCTTCAGTCATTCAGTCACAACGTAGAACTTTGTACGTACGTACATCAGTTCGAGTTGCCATACCATATTAGCACAGAGATGTAGTTGTCGATTCAAATCCCATAGTGGTAGAAGTAGTAAGAGTATAAGCAGTAAACCGAAAGATTAGGGCTTAAAGATGTTATCCCAGGAGTATAATACAGTGAAATAAATTTGGATATAGAATAAGGATAGGGACATGAAGAATTCAGATTAGAATTTGGGAGAACACAAACGGTGGATGCATCTTCGCCATTGCACACGATTTTGAACCATGTCATTCAAGGTGTCTAACCATCGGTTGTTATCATCTCGCGGATCCCAACCAGGTAGTCTACACCTACCAGCATGGCTCAGTCCAATTGTCAGTGACTTTCCTTAATACTTGGCTAATTTATGAAAGTATTTTAAACAACAAGTTCTAATAATATCCACAAATATAATAACAAATCCTGTCTCTCCTGAAAGTACCCGGAAATATTCGTTTAATTTTTCAGCCAAATAATAGTGCAGGCGGCCGACGTCGAAAACGTGGACGAAAGCAGAAAAGCGACAACACAACAACCAGTGATAATCCAATTAACGAAAATACTGAAGATTCTCAAAATAATCCATTCGCATCGCATCCTTTAGTGAAACTACAAGTTAAACGACGACAATGTCTAAGTAACATTCATAGTATACACAGTCGTCCAACACTACTCCAAATGGTAGGTATAATTTGCTTGTCTATGAATTATTTGACTAGAAAATATTAGGGATGTATGGATAATATGAAAAGCAATTAACGTGAAAGTTAGTATAGTATTTCTACTATAACTAATAAAATATGTACGTCATGCTAATACTGATTAGTAAATTCACAGCGACTTCAATAAGTCCATTAATAAAAATTTTCTGTATTATGATGTTGTAGGGACAGTGAAATATCACTGAGCCCTAATCAAATCATTTGGATCACAGATCATCGATTCCTGTCGAAGTCAAGGACAACCAACGCGCATCAGTTAGTCATACGTCATAGACTGGCCCATGCGGTGGTGATCTTACTAACTTCTCTGTGCTCTTTCTTACTAATATAATTACATTATTATTTAAACACATAAATATTGGTACAGCGAAACACCAAATATGTATGTGCCATACAAATCTCATTTGATTTGTGTGAGGGCTATGATGCTGCCCAGGTGCCCAAACTGAAACAGGTGGTTTTCTTAGGGGCCTACACTCGGGGCCTTTGACCTAAAGATCTGATCCACAAGGTAGTAAAGCATCGTGAGGAGATGCAGTCCCATGGTAGCTGGTGTTAAATAGTTGGTTCATACGCCATTTGTTCCCTCAGGATACTGGAGCACATGTGCACCATTAGTTTGGAATGAGGGTTTTCTCAACTCCACTAGGTGGACTTTCCGTGTCCACCAACCCGGTTAAAGTGCTGGGCATTCGCTTTCCATCCTCTCAATTTCGTAAACAACACACGCACCACGAGAAGGCAGTGAGTAGGACTTCCCTGGCAGAGGCTATATACGCGTGGCCATGTGAGAGCATTTCGAGTGACAAAGCGGACTCTCCCTCTCTCGGCCGTATCAGGGCATTTGGAGACGTTATTATGTAATAATCCATGTTAGATACTGACCTCGAAGTGTAACTTCAAAGTTACCTTGTTCGTCACACCGTTCCCGTCTAACTTGAGTAGGCCACCAATCATTCGACATAGATCTACAGTATGTATATGCATATACCATTGTACTTAAATGAAATTATTTTCTTTTATTGATACATTTACACTTTATATTGTAGTTATTGGCTGAAGATATTCGTAAAGAACGTAATCAACTTATGCAATGTATTCGTTATATTGTTAAAGAGAATTTCTTTCAAAAATAATAATGATATTCAAATGACATTGATATATATTTTTTATGTATAATACGAGAGCTAAGAAATAAATTGTATATAATATATATAAAGAAAATATTGTGTAAAGTTTGATTTGATCAATGTTTCGTGTATGGTGTCCATTCTGGATCTTTAAAATTAATGTAAACTTGTTTTTTTCTTGGGCGACCGGCTTTAGGTTGTAAATTGATAGGATTAATATTATTAGATTGTTTAACCCAAATTGAAGTTCCTTGAGAAATATGTCGTTTTATACGAGTAAACTTATGATTTTTTCGTTTTCTTTTACGTCCATCTGATTTAAGTTCACCTGATGCAGAAAGTAATGGAAGTGATCTTGTACGAGATTTATATTCTTTAGTTCTTCTTGATTGTTGAAAATCAGGGGGACATAAACTTCTTGATAAGTTTTCTATTGTATAAATTTTGTCTTGTTCTATTGAATTGGACTCTTTATCAATTGGTGCTGATAAGTGAACACTGTGCCACCAACGAAAGCATTGTGCTGAACAAATACGAGGAAAACCAGGACATGCTGCACAAACCATGTTAATGGTCATTCCATTTTGTACTTGATTTCTCAACTGACAAGCATTACATTGCACATTTTCGTTAGTTAGACTATTATCAAAAGTACCAGGCAACGTATCGTGATATAGTGATTCTATAGAGACTAGTCTATGTTTATCATTTGGTGCTCCACATGCATCTTTAGTGGAGTTTGTTGTGAGGCCATCAGAAGGAATACTTATCTGGTTGTTAGCAGATACTTCATCCATAGCTTCTTTGTTTGTGTTCTCCGTGTCACACATCCGTTGACCCTCTTGACTGTTATTGCCTGACAATTCATCATTATTGACTGTTGCATTGTTTTCTGTAAGAAACAATACGGTTACTGCATAAAGTGGATGTAAATTGGCATAAAAACCTTATTTCACAAGAATAAAGTGCCATAACATTATCAGTTTTGCAAGCTATAAAATGACACGCCGAAAATCAAAAAACTACTAAGACCGGAACCTTAGATAATATACTCCACACCTTGTATCTGCGTTGTTGGGATTGGAATCAGAAGCATAGTTCTCGCTTAATCACGTGAAACTACGGTAGTGATATACATATCGGCGTCCAACAATGATAGTTTTTCTTGACTTGAAAGCAGCATTTGACTCTGTAGACCAAGAGGTTATGTGGCAGTGTCTGTCATTGAAAGGTGTACCTGAGAAGTACATAAACCTTGTGAAGGCTCTTTACTCGAACACTACCAGTCGAGTGAGAGCTTATGGCGAACTGTCATATGATTTCACAACCTTAAGTGGTGTCTGTCAAGGCTGTCTACTATCCTCATTTTTGTTTAAATTCATTATAGATCTGTGGCTGGAAATAACACTCTCGTCGATTGAATTTTCAGGAATTGATCTCCTACCAGGGGGACCACTAAGCGACTTAGGATACGCAGATGACATAGTCCTGTTTGGTGAAGACACTGACAAAATGCAGAGTCTTCTGTTGGAACTCAGTAATAATGCCAGGATGTTTGGGGTGCGTTTCTCCCCATCCAAATGTAAATTGTTACTCCAGGACTGGCCTGCGTCAACACCTGAACTAAGGATAGGGAGTGAAGTAGTCGAACGCGTCGACAACTTCACTTATCTTGGAAGTCTGATCAGTCCTAATAGGTTGGTGTCTGACGAAGTCTCAGCACGGATTGGTTAGACACAGGGTATTAGGGAATGATGGTAAATCAGTTGATGAGGTCATGAATTTCTATGGTTGGCTACGTGTTACGTATGTCTGTTTATTACATCATGTGCTCTTCCATACATTACGTTGCTCTCTGAATGGAAATAGTCGAATGTAAATTGAAGTGAGAGCATCCCTGCCATGTATTTCTGAAGTCTAAGCTCAGGTTATTCAACGACGCTGCTATCACAAAATGATCGCCCACATTTGTTGGTAACACTGTTGGTTATGTTGAGATCCAGTAATATTTGTATTTGTAGTAAAGACCGTGTTTACTATAATAAAACACCAATTTTGGTGAATTGGCCACTGCGCGTGTGGTTTTGGCGGCCCTCATATAATATATGTAACGACATTAGGTTTAGGTGGAACAAACAGAAATGTTCATAGCACGAAATCGTGAAACCAAGAATCAATGTATCAGGTTAAAACGTCGGTATACTCTAAAAGCATTTAATCCAATGTTTTATACACGATCAGTTGTAGACAATACAATGCCTGGTTAAATATAATTTTGCTCAATGTGTTTGTACATCAGTGTTTAGTTCAAGTTTCTGTATTATAATGATCGTTGCAAAGCGAAAGCACCTATGCAGGTATTAACTCATTTTTACATAAGTACCCCGTTTGTCAAATGAGGATTTAAAAACTAAAGAGTGGCGGTCCAGTCCTAATAGTTAGTTTGACTTAGACTTTAACTGCAATCTGGGAAATATCAGCTTAACTAGGGTTCGTGAATAGAAAACCGTGCTGGTTCCAGACCAGGACGTGCATGTTTAAATCATATGTTCACGATGTTTCAGGCTCTGGAACATAGGCATACTTTCTGACAACCGATTATAATTGTTATTCTTGGCCTTAAGGTAATATTTGATTCTTAATTGTAAGGTTCTGTGATAGCATATCATTAAAAGGTCCAACAAAGATGTTAACCGTGTACAGGCTCTACTCGAACATCACCGATCGAGTCAGAGCTTATGGCGGACTGTCATATGATTTTACAACCTCAAGTTTTCTGCAGGACTGTTCATTTTCTTCATTCCTACTTAATTTGGTGATAGATACCTTTTTAGAGATAACTCTCATCGTCTGACTTGCCAAGGGTTGGTCCCCTGCCATGAGATTTACTTTTTCACATATAAACAATGCGCTCTATTTGTTAGAATGGATCGAGAAATCCTTGATCATGAAAAGGCACAAGCCTCATACATCTGCTTTGTTTAACCTTCAAGTGCTCTCGCCTTATCTAACTTTTCAAGTGAGCTTTACCTCAATATTCGTCTTGTCAAACTATTCAGCATGAATACATGTTGGTTTAGACACTGCATGAAATAAAATAGTACTCTTAAAGCCTATTATGGTATCTGTATTTTATTGCTGATCAAGTGGATATATTTGCTCTTTGTCAACTTTGCTCCTAGTGAATAGAGCTTGGTATATTTTTAGGGTTGCACTAAAAATAACCAACTAGGGAATTCTATACTTAACAGGAACAAGTCTTTTAACGTTTGTACCTCGTGCTCACGTCTTGTATCGTACTTATCAGTAAACCATAAATACAACAGCGATTAGAACGCTTGTCGTTTCGCAAATTACTTGAAAAAAAATGACTTTCGATAGTTCATACTCTTGATATTTGTGTATATAAGTAAAGAGCGAGACTATAATTTGTGGACAAGCCAATTGGAAGCGTTTGAGAGACTTCAAAGTCATGGCGGCAATTTCAGTACCTAATGCTCACGTACGATCGGTTTACAGCGAGTTTTAGAGACGTGACGATTGAGCGGCTACAACAAAATGGATTACTAAGAAGTCCCTTTATTTGTGGCCGCAGTAGTCAAATGACTGCTGTACTGTGTGCAGACTACCGTAATGAGGTTGTCTATTGATGTTATTTATATTAGAGGAAGAAATCTGCTAGAACAGGAACTTTTTTCGCTCGATCGCGATTGAGACTAAGGCAAATCATGATAATTGTTGCGAATTGGATAATAGAATCACCAGTCACACTGGCTGCAACGTTTGCAGATGCAACTGAAGCTTCAGCTGTTCAGCGGTTTGAGTATTGTAGAGATATATGTGCAATAAAAATGACAAGCTCACACGAGTCGTTTGGGGGAGTCGGGAAAATCGTTGGAATAGACGAAACGGTAGGTAGGAAACAAAAACCTAATAGAGGACGTAGTATTAAAGGAAACTGGGTAAGTAGCACTTTCAAAAATATACCTCACAGTTACTTGGATTATACGACAAGTCGTCCCAAAAAGGAAACTTCCAACGGGTTAGGAACCGACAAGCAACGACAATAATACGGATTATGGGGTAGTAGGTGCAGTCATGCACTACACTATATACAGACGACTGGAGAGCATACATATGCCAACATAGACTTGGTTATGTGCATCATGTCGTTATTCACAAGCGCCATTTTGCTGACCCTACAACTGGGGGGGGGCATCCTTACAATATTGAAGCTATGTGGTCGAGGCTGGAAGAGCTCTTGCGAACTTATCATAGCTCTAGACGCCGACCATTATGGGGCCACGTGAATGAGTTTTTCTACAATATGCATTGCGATTTTAGAACCTCCAAACCTTTATCTAACCTTGACAAGTTTTTGACCCATACAAAAGAAGTGTATCCACTTTCATTCTTTGGTTTTGTATAATATATATTTACTCTATACTGTCTTCTACATGCCTAATATTTCTCAAGGTCACTTAAGATTCGTTCATAAATGAGTCTCGCCGAGTAAAGTCGCCAGGAGTCATACCATATTCAGCAATGCCAATTTACTTACACAAGTTTTGATGGTGTTTTCCAGAATCTCATATTCATTTTCAGGCACTTATCAAACATACTGATACCACCTGTTTCGATGCAGTTATGGTTATCCACTACCAAGCGAATATAATCCCACTGAATATTCTAAAAGCTATGGCCCAACTATTATTTGAAAGTACTTACCAACCAAAAACTACTTACAAGAATGAACAGACACCTACCATGATCTACTTGTTCATCCACCTCACTCTCGTTACGAGTTTGTTGTTGACATTGAGACTCTCCATTTAGATTCTATAAATATTTCATGAGTATTTCCACACGACTTACTGAACTTGTGTCTAGAAACAATGGGCTAAGCGGTCCTTAAAGAAAACGTTACCTTCTTGTTTGATTCGGACAATGGCTTCGAGAGTTCTTAAGTGTTTTTTATGGGAGTAAATAAGGTCAACGACACGCTGCTGAAGCTCACAAGTCATTTTGAAAGCAGAGTTGAGATCAATGAATCTCATCTCACCAGCTAAAGTACTTGCATTTTGTATCTAAAAATAGATTATATATGCGGTGGTAGACTTACTGTGGCAGCAAACAGTCTAAGCAACTCTCGTGAACCACTAGCCATAAGAAAATGTCAGGCTCGCGCCATAAATTTGACTTAATGACCCCGCTTACACTGACCTACAAGATTTAAGTTAATTGACGGCGATTATGTTTCATGCTCAGTGGTGTCTTCATATTCTTGTCTGAAACTAGACAGGTTGATATGTTTAATTGTTCTAGGGCAGTCTTAGTGTAAGGTAACTTTTTCCGTCTTCCGGTATTTCTTAATTATCCCAATATCATTCAACAACTTGTAAAAATCAATGGATTTCTTTGCTCTCGCTTCATGTTGTTTTGGTATGGTTCCAGGTATCTGGTAATGCAAGTGGGTGATAGCCTAGACATTCGAATACACTTATTTCAGTCGGTCCGGTATTTATTTGTGGATTCGCGTGTCATAATATTTGAGCGCATTCGCCTCAGGACAAAAGGGTTTCTGGATACCAGTAGCCATCACATTCCCAGACAGATGTTTTACTCATTGCATGTAAAAATAATTAAATAAAAATTTGAGTTCTAAAAGAAGACAATGGATAAAAGAACAAATAAATGAGTTAGTTGATTGGTAATATGAAGGAAGACGAAATTGAAAGAATAATAAGCGAGATGGAGTTAACAAGAGAAATAGGAATAGTTACTAATATATGGTAATGATAACTGCAGCAAATTATGAGGCATACACCAGGTACAGCTAGTAGAAGAGGGAGATTATAGTACACGAGTGACTACGTACCTCAGTTTGGCGTGCCCCATTAGCAGAACCGTGGTCCTCTATCGTGGGTCTCTGAACAAGGTCAGCTGGCATAAAGGAGTATCCGATCTCTGTTTTCTGCTATTGTCTTACCGATATAGGCCAACTTTCGCGACATCTGGTGTGACGGGAGAGGTCATTTTCGGATCTGTACTAGACCTGAAGTGCGTTGGTTTATTCCTTCCGGTTACTGAGGCCCACAGTCATCGTGTAACGGACACAATTATCGTAGTGGTGTGAAGACCTATTTTGCATGATAACCAACATCACCTCCGCATGTCGTGTTCGTGAGCTTCACCCAGACTGCCACTCACAAGCTCAAAAACTCCGTGAACCGCCATGGTGGTTGATTCCTGGTTCTTTGCTGATTACACGCTAGTAAGACTTCTTAATGAGAGCATAGCTTGAACTGATCTAGCACGATCGAACACATCTGTGTACCATTCAGAAATCACAGGCTCTCTACATGTACAGACTAATTTAGATCCTATGTACAGTTTGCCTTACTTTTCTACTTTGCAACTGTATTAGATACTTTTCCCTCCCAATTTTTACTTGAAATAGACAGGTAACTCGCCGGACCTATTGACGCTGCTCAACTAAACTCGGTCGCTAAGGGGCGTTCGCTACTACCCGTAACGTCAAGAGAACCGCACAATCGACCACTTACTATCAGTGGTCTTGCATCTATCGAGCTTGTAAACCATCAACCAGCTACGACAGCATAGAATAACATCAGCACGTTGTTTATGTAGGTTCCGTTTTGTCTATTCTTCAACAGCTTTTTACTCTTCTGTAGACTATGTCGACTTGCCGACAATTTTATTTCACCACGTATTTCACTACGTATAACTAATGTATTCCTATACATTAACGCTTATTTTGGTAAACAACTATCTTACATGATACCCTTCTTAATGCCTATAATCTGATTGACAACCTATACTTTATACTATAGTCAATCGAAGCAGTGCATCTATGCCTTACCCACAGTCCATAATTTGTAACTGCCTGATAAGCTTTTATGATGGTACTTATAGAAATAGTGATCTCCAACAGGATGTGAAACATAGAGCATCAGGTGAGTTGTGATATATACCCAAAAACAAGCCTAAAAGAGCCTAACATTACAAAAGGAGGGAGAGTGGAGTTGTTGGCCAGGAAACGTTGATGGTGAGGGAGATGACTTCAATCCACCCATGTTTGTAAGGCAGAACATTTTGTTTGTATCAGGCTTTTTATGATTTGTGATTGAGGACAAGTAAATCAATACGTGGTATTGAGCTTATCGAGCACTTACGTCCCCGTTCAGACTCATATTTTCATTTTTATGCTATACTAGCTATCCTACTAACACAACCTATAATATGCTAACTCGGACCTTTACACTAAGACTGTATGGACGGCATCGAATGGAAAAAAACTAACTAAAGAAAATTCAGACAATGGGAGATATAGTTATTAGTTTTCTAAGCACTTTTCTCTCTTGATGCACTTCCCTTTTAATAAACAGTCTTCCTTGTTCTGACTTCAACTTCCCTTTCATCATTTGAACCTACTTCATCTTGTTTACATATCATAACTCCTTGTTCTTTACTACTACATTCTCTTATCTGGAAGCTCTAACCACATTTCACTCCTGCAACAAGAGCTAGTATGAGCTTAACCTACTAATTTATCATGCCTATCCTTCCACTGCATATCCTCTGGTTTGCCATTGGTCCTTACCACCTCTTAACCACATATAATCTGACATGTTACTTGTAGCTTTTACCACTAGTTATCTTCATAGCAGTATGATATATTAAAAGGATGTCTAAGCCATAATACCAATGTTTTTACCGTCTGATTCGCTTGTAACATGGAACTAGTAGAGACAGTGTATTCCAACTATGGGCCTTGATCAAAGCAATATTCATATTGAACACAAGCGTACGAGAGCCTAACACCATAAAACAAGGGAGGGTGGCGTTACTGACCAGCAAACATGATGGTGGAGGGATAACTTCAATCCACCCGTGTCTGTAGGGCAGAACATGCTAAATTACGACTCCTTATGTAAAGTGGGATGCCACGAGCCAACGGTATTGATCCGAATTTATTTATGCAAAATACCTCATTAAATTGTGTCTAGAACGATGAATTGGTTCCACTTCCTACCAAGCAGTCCTATTACAAGCAAACTAGATAATTCGCTAAAAACGAAGCCCACTCCGTGCCCTATGAAATCCAAAAACAAAAAAGAGAGTTCAAATAGCTTCGAAAGAAAAAGGGAGACGGCCATTTTCATTAAAATATTGTTTTCAGCACTTTATTTTATAATTACACATAATTACACACTTCTTTCTGAACTACCTTCATTTATACAGTTCCTCATCCAATCATAAATCGTTCACACTTATTTTTCTTTAACACATTTGTATGCTCTTACTTAATAAGTACTTCAGTAACAGACAAATAGACTAAATGGTTATACCTTGACTATTCCTCCATGAATATTGTGTGCTCCGCTGTTCGTCCTTCCTTTTTCTTACATCTTTTTCAGCCCCCTGGAGATACCCCACCGAAAACAGATATGGCACGAGTGACTTCGTCCTACATCGTTATTAAAGCCTCAGACATTCCGGAGGGATATAACATCGAAGATTTTAAAAGTCCCCAACTTCACATGTATCTATTTTCACCATCAGTTGTATGTTGCAACGCTACCCTCATAAAGTGCGCCAAGTGTGATATTGACATGTTTCTTACGAAATCCATTTGCATTCATACCTTATAAAATATCAACCAAGCTGAGTGATTTTCTACAGTGAAAATTGTAACTTCTGTAACAATTTGATCTTACCCGTAAACGGGCATGCCTCATGTAACAAACTTTTATTTAAGTCTCATGATGAGCAACTTTAATGCACAGTCCATAATCTGGGGAAACGTGGAAATAGGGTCATCAACAACAACATTTGTTTGAAACCACACTCGCCTCAATTTTGTTCCAGTACATTAGAGATCCCACTATATATGACCTACAAAGCTCCCCGCCCCTCTTGGAACTAATCTTGGAACACAGTGATGATGCAGTCTGATAATTTTCCTCACATCTTTGGGGAGGAGTGCTCATGCAGACACTGTATTCAATTTCGTGAGTGTGATAGCCTGTCGAACAGCTACACAGACCCATCTCAAGATGTGGGAGGCAGCATTGTGACGATCAACTCTGCAGCATCGACTGAAAACCAGATCATTAACTCAATGTGATTAGTAGAAGATGTATTGAGTGATTTCTGGCAGTTATACAATCGGGCAACGTAACCGCATATACTCTGGACGGTCCAAAAGAAGAAGAAGAACGGTCTCACTGGGTAGACCGGGATATTCATCGCTGACTAAGACAAAAGAAGAAACGTCGGAACATAGCCATCGGCCTTGGCACAGCAAGTACAATAGAACGCTACCGGTGAGCATGAAATAAGTGTAGAATTACAACTCGGGAATCTCAGAGAAAATATGAAATGCAGTTGACCTAATCTGTAGTCAAACAGCCTATGAGACAATTCTCGTACACAAATTAGGGAACAGGAACACAGCGATGGATTCCCAACCTAATAAAGGATGGGGTTGATGTCCATTGGCTACGGTATTCAATATGTCACTTAGCCTAGGTGAATTGTCTAAGGACTGGAAAAATGCAATCATCACTCCAATACATTGCAGTAAGCGTCAAGTCGCAATGGATCATGATCATCACTACAGGAAGATTACGTGCCAGGTATTAGGATGGATCCCTCAGTAGGTCAAAAACCAGAAGGCATTTCACGTTTGTAATAAGATATCTTTGTTGTCGATCTCGTGATATAGAAGGAATATCAGGATTGTGCCAGCGTTTACAAGCGGAACTACTGAACCTACGAGAGTTTGTACAATGTCACAGATAAAGGAAGAATGTGTGTTTTGTATAAGCAAACAAACAGGTACAGCAAAACAATCACCGGTACATTTGGTTATAACAGTAGTTGTTTCCATTATACCAATCACGTTCTCTTCATAAAAGTAGGTCACTACAGCATGAAACAGGATCAAGACATTTTCCATCAAACTACTGACTTGTCAGCTTCATCGGCGTTATAGTTAAAATACTCGAGAGAGTAGTCAAAATGATCATAATGAGGTATGTGGAAACCAACAACTTGTTAAGCAGCGAACATGGTTTCAGAAAATGTTTTTCTTACACAAAATTTCCCCTTATTGCAAGGGAGAAATGGATAGAGGCTCTGGACGATGGAAAAACAGTAAATGTTGTCTACATAGACTTCAGCGAAGCATTTGATAAGGTGCTGATGATGTGAAAGTTTGGTGACAAATGACGGGAGATGCAGATGCATGCACACTTCATACAGTCTTAAATATTGTGATTGGCTGGTCTAGAGAATGGCTGATGATTGGCAACACGGCATAGCGAGACTACATGCACTTTTAGGATACAAAATAAAATAGGTACAGCGTAGGGTGAGTCCCTGTATCCGATTGGAGGTCTTACAAGGATCTTGGGGTGATAATGAGTTATGATCCTAAGACCATGGCTCCCTACTGTGAGGCCGCTGCCAGTGTGGTCAAGCAAAGGTGTAGTCAGAACGGTTAACAGCTCTGTTTTAGCTCATTTAGTTCAGACGGGACATAGAGCCGACATCGAGCAATCCTTCACAGTAATATATCGTGTTAATAGTAGTCTACCTAATTCTGTCAGACAGAGAATCCTGCAGACGGCTGAGGCAATTGCTATTCGGATCAAAAAGCCAGAGCTCTGCATCCAAAAGAAATATGTACAGCCGCTCCTTTTACCCTGGCCAACTTTATGGTCAACTTGTTAATGATCAATTTTGTAATATGGTGACATTAATTTGATTAATGTTCACTTCTATATCTCAAACTTAGTTTATCTACACATCTTATCAGTCATTATTCTTATTCTTATTATCTTTATTATTATTATTATTATTATTATTATCACACCTGATAACCTTTTAGAGAAATTTATTCGTCATCCACCCCCTATCTACTATATCTAACCCAATTTATATTATTCTACATATTGCGTAATTTCTGATTTGTAATCCCATTTTTCTATCTGTCACCCCCATGTCAACTATATATATTCTGATAATTTATCTTACGATTTCATTTCACCTATAAACTGATTCAAGTTAACACATCATATTAGTCATTTCAAAAACATTAACGATTCGATCTGATTTTATTTTATATGACAAACAATCCTTGATTCACATATTACAGTTTCTTAAATTGATGTACTCCGCCTTAAACTGGGCCTAAACATTTCCCAATTGTCGTATCGTTGGACGCAAGATGGCCTTATACTGGCATTTTGTATCTTTAATCATGCTTTGGCTGTTAATATGTTTTATCTTTTTGCTCCCACCATCACTGATGATCTCCGAGGTCATAGCAAGAAGGTTCACAAACAACGATCAAATAAACTAAATGTGGGGTACCGTTTTTCTCATAGAGTGGTCAATGACTGGAAAGCATTACCCGAACAAGCGGTATCAGCGGCATGAGTGAACACTTTCAAGGAGAAGTTGAACCTTCACCAGAAGGCAATCTGTCAGGATAAACACAGGTTCAACAACCTTCCATTATTATTACAGAAGAATGAAAACCGAGTCACCAATTCTTGGAACTTGTTACTCAAAGCAATCGTGTCAGTACCTTCGATCGAGTCATTATACAGAAGATTAGACACCCACTGAAGCATACTGGAAAAATAATGACATAAGCCTTAGGTCTTCTATTCTTAATACACACATCTTAATCCGATATTGGATAGAGGACTGACCTTCGCGGAGTTTCAAAAACCGGGCTGATGTCCTCTTTGAATGTTGGGTACTTGTAGCCGGTTGTTGCTATCAAGTAACTCTGTTTATCACTTCTCTAATCCCGTCATTCAATTTTAATACAAACCGTTCATTTCGATTAGCCTTAATTATTTACGGGTGGTCATATAGGCAGATCAACGAAACATATGTTACCTCCACTAAAGTTACGTCCCTATTAGGTCACTAATATCTTCATGAACTGATGTGATTTCTGGTCTGGTTGCTATTTGCACTATCAGGTTCTCCTGTATTACTTTAGGTCATGTTAGTCAACGCGAATCTGGCGTTCCAAAATGCTCACAGACAAACGTTTGTAAACTCTGAATTTTTAAACCTCAATAATCAATGTAGTACGTCGACCAACCTGTTTTTAAGATTATCGACTAAATTTGTTATACTTGCAGCAAACCAAGCCGGACTTGTGTTTTTCATTTTCTTTTAATGGGTTATAGGACATTTTGCAACTACAGTTGGTATCATTTATGATGTTTTAGTGGGTAGTTCATAAAGACTGATAGGGGTCACGGATAAAGTGAAATTTCTGAATAATTGGGCTTGAATCCAGACGTTAAACTAAATATTGACACTAGATGGTTGAGCAAACGACTTTCAGTTTTTTCTAGGTGGAAAATGAATGTTAAATGTTGTATTCTTACTCAAGGTGTTTGAGTTGTTTCATCTAATAAAGTTGTATGACTGATAAGATTGTTTTATTTGCCACTTCCTTCACTGGGATCACTAGTTAATTTATGCTACAGAAATGCGTGTGTGGTATTGCACTCGGAGCAATCAAAGTCGGCGGTATTGCGGAACGCCTTTGATCTAGCTGCCGCACATAAATGTCCATAGTAGGTTGTCATGTAATCAAAAGTTTTCTTTCAGTAGTTAACACACAAAGAGATTATAAACTCGTTTCCGACCTTTAGTCAGATCGTAGCTGATCAGTGTACAGTCTTGAGAACATCGCTAATTCTCGTGTATCTCTACTTGCCACCGATAAAGTTTTTCTTGCTTACTAGTCAGATTCACCTCAGCTTGAGTCTTGTGATAAGGGTTTTATGCTAGACTACCAAATCAAGACTAAAATTTCACTCCATCTATTTAATAATTGTATTATCCTTCAAGGTTCTGATTTAGGTGTCATCAACTCATTATTGTAATAACCTAGTAACCTCGGCAGTAGTCGAAAGCCACAAAGTGATCCTCGACTCAGACTACTGAAAACGAGTAATTGAATATCAGCTGAAATAGGGGTGAATTATTTCTTAGCTTTATGTCCATCATAAATATCATCCAGTGATTGTGTAATACTGATAGACTTTTCTCAGAGATTCTCACCGTCTTTCTTCAATATTAATGTGAAACAAACTGAAGGGGAGTTTTCATATAAAAACAAGAAATGTTCAGTTAAGAGTTCGGATTAGACTGAAATAGTCTCATCAGTCACATACATCTATTTAATACGTATTTCCATAATTAAATGACATCAGCAATGAATATCAATGTTGCTAATATACTCATTTTTAGGATTGATATCAAACATTTGTTATCAGTATATTCTTAATTATTTTATTCTCTTAAAATATAGTTCTAATTTTTCTAGAAAGAGAACTGTCATTGCTTCTCTTATCATTTACTTTGCAGCTGACCAATTATATATATCAACATGCAACCAACATATTTAGAACCTTTGGGTTCGGTTAATTTCTCAAAATTCAAGACCGATATATCGTTAAAGAATACAACGCAAATCGTCTTCAGTTCATCTTCAGCAACTGTATGCCTATACGATATACACAAACTTGAATGCTTTCGTGACAGTCCAAATTGGTCACATCAATTTACATGGATACCTGTTTTAGATTTAAAATATTTATTGGATAATGTATTAGAATCTCCTGATGATTTGTTTAATTGGCATATTTGTAAAGTTATGTTTGTGAATACTTCAACTACGGCAAGGCAATCTTTAGCAGCAATTCTTGTAAATACCAATCAGAATCGTTCACTTGTCTGTTTCTTTCGTTCATTGAGTACAGCAAAATGTAACATAATTATTTTAATAAATGGAGCAATAACCTCACTAGAGTGGTTGCCTCTTATCGATATAGGATGTAAGTCATCGGAATCGCACTCAATGAACTCTACTATGGATATCACGGATCAAGATACTTCCAAGGGAACAAACAAAACTTTGAGCTCTGTTTTATCAATTTTTGATGGTTGTTTCGCTCTCGGCTTTCAGCAAGGACTTGTGGGTTTACTGGGTAAGTATATATTTGTTTCTGTTTTGGAGACATGATTGACCTTAGACTTATACGCTATTGGACCCTAACTCAGTAGTTTAGAGTCTGTGTTCGCACACGAGACTGAAGGTCTTGGGTTTAGATCCCAGACGCGACGTCGTGGATGCGCACTACTCAGAAGTCCCATACTTGTGCGAAACGACCCAGTGCTTTCAAGTCACTCTTTTTTCTTGAATCATATTGTCTGTGCTTAATCTTTTCTACTATCACAGTTACTGTTACTACTTATACTATTCCGTCATCGCCGTGTTAATTTGGCTTTTCACGTAGAACCGTTGTTCATATGAACCAGATTATCCGTTTTTTATGAATAACTGTGCGTTAGCTCAACTAGGTAATCTGCACTACCAATATAGTCCAGAACAATAGTTAGTGACTTTGTAGATTGCTACTGTGCATTGTTCCGGTCAGTGCGACATTGTTTCCAGAGTGTACATTGGTTTCAGTTTCTATATTCCATTACTTCAGAAAGATGAAACTATCAGAGTAGTAGAGGTATTAACAGTATTAGTCTTAACAAATAACAATGCGCGTCGATGTGGGGGTATGGTTGGGATACGTGAAACATCGTACACAAGCAATGTTTTGAACACATTTATGGAAAAACTCCTGCGTTGTACGCTTGTTTTATAATTTCATGGACGATGTTTCTTAGACATGAAGTAGTATAAAATGGGTTACTTCTCAGAATATTCGCCTTCTACTACTTATTTTCCTGTTTTTTTCTTCTACAGATATGTGTTTAACACACACTCGTGATGATCTATCAAATGATCAGCCTGAAACATCGATAGCAGTTGAAAGATCACATTGTTTACATTGTTTTTCTTGTAAACAGCCAATATCTCAACTATCTGATGATAATGTAGAACATTCACTAGTATATCTTGATGGTAAATTGAAATAATCCTTTTTAATGTTGAAACTGCTTCAAAATATACTTAACACTGTATAAACTACTTCGACTAATCGGTTACTTTAGTATACGTATTTTTTATATACTGTTTGCTTTCGATTGAGTTAACTGGTTCAGTTATACTTGTATTCAGTCAGTCAGTCACAACGTAGAACTTCGTACGTACGTACACCAGTTCGAGTCGCCATACCACATTAGCACAGTGATGCAGTTGTATTACGATTGTTGATAAGCGAGAGGACCTTTGTGTAATTGAACCACATTTCCATCATAATCGTATCTTGTTTGTTTCGAATTTAAACATAAGCTTGTAGTATAAACTTTATGTAATTTAGGCTTTTTTTCTAGTCGTATGATATATATTTAATTGTTTTAACGAGTCATTAGTTTTACTTTAGCATTTTGTTAACTTCATGCTGCTACTTTGGATATCTTGGTTGGGTGACTTGGAGTAAATTCGATTGTGGTGATGCAATCAACAATACGTTTCTAAATTTTGATTTCAATGTCTTTCCGAACACTGTTTTGGTATCGTATTTCTGCCCGTAGAGAATATATCTTCATTATTTTGATATCTATTACAGTTGACACTAAGTCCTCTTCTTTGGCCTCTATCTTGTTAATATCTTTTGTCACTATGCTTATATGTCTCTCAAATGCCCTGGTACGGCCGAGAATGGGGAGTCCGCTCTCCCTCTCAAAATGCTCTCACATGGCCACGCGTATATGGCCTCTGCCGGGGAAGTCCTACTCACTGCCATCTCATGGCGGTGTTATTTAGGAATTTGAGAGGACGAAAAGTGAATGTCCGGCGCTTTAACTGGGTTGGTGGACACGGAAAGTTAACCTAGGGGATTTGGAAAACCCTCATTCCAAGTTAATGGTGCACATGGCCTAACTCCAGTATCCTGAGGGAACAAATGGCGTATGAATCAATTGTTGGTCACCGACTATCATGAGAGTGCATCTCCTCACGATGCTCCACTGCCTTATGGATCAGACCTTTAGGTCAAAGTCTTGGGTTGTGGTCCCCTAAGAAAATCATCTGCTTCAGTTTGGGTACCTGTCAGTATCACATCCCTCACATAAATCAAATGAGATTTGTGTGGCGCATATGTATATGGTGCCTCTTTATATCAATATTTACGTGTTCAAATAGATAAAAACTATGCTTATATGAGGTGTAGCATTTTAGAGCAATAAACATTTGTCTTAGGCCCTATGCTAATGTGGTTCAAAATATAGATAATAAATTATATTATTAAACCGAATTATACGTAATCGAATCATTTAGTAGTATGAAGCCTCGAAAATTTCGTTAATTTTCCTACAAATCACTGTTGTATACACTTGAATATATTAACCATTATATTTTGCCATAAAAGATCGATGGTATTCAAGTAATCAATACATTTCAATCCTTGGTTCGCAATTTTAACATCACTCAACCTATTGTAATTAAGACAGATATTCCTCCAAACCGTTTTCTGTTTTGGTAAAATTATTTAAAGCTTATATGACATTGAAATTTACTTAGTATTGTTTGTTTGGATCTTCCCATTGATGTTTTTAAGACTCCAACTGGTCAGTCTCTAATTGGAATATGTGTATACTGTGCGTATTGCCTCGATATAGCCTTAATTCACAAGCATGGTAAGCAAAGATGAATAGTGGCTAGCAGTGGAATCCAGTTTGACGCGCGTTTCGTCCTATTTGGGATTTGTCAGCCGGATGTACCTGCATCTCAGAGTTGATGTCCATTCTGGGACTCGAACCCAGTAACTCTCGCTTGAAACGCCATCGCGTTATCCACTCGGCCACTGAGTCCTGATAGCCACTCGCTTGTGCAATGGGGTGAAGTTGAAATTTACTTAGTATTGTTTGTTTGGATCTTCCCATTGATGTTTTTAGGACTGCAACTGGTCAGTCTCTTAGATGACATTGTTCATATGTTAATTCGTTTTCGTTATTGTGCTAATCATCTGATTATTTGAATTGGTATTAAGTAATCTAATTATGCTATCATTCTCTCATATAATTCACTTAGCCTCAGTTCTTCGATGGAATGATTTCACATATAAATCTGTCAGTGGTAAAACATTATCTTCAATCCCATCAGGTAAGTTTTTTTTATGTGTGTGTGTAAATTTCTTACTATATATTGTTTCATATGATCCTGTTTGGTTTAACATATTCGTATACACAATAAAGTTATAGCTTGATGATTGGAGCACTTGACTTTTAAACATTGTCGCAGATTCGAATTTCCATCTGTCTAGTTTAATTTGAACAGCTAAATGAAATCAAAAGCCCTCTCATAAAAATGTAACTTAACAAATCCGAATACAATAGTAGGGATACTGTCCACTTCAATCTGAAGTTCTGGTTAGTATCGATCGTCCTTACAAAAAGTATGTGACTCAAATCTACTGTGTACATGTGCGCTTGTAAATAGATACAAAGTTTTATTATATCACATTTACTAGTTTACAAATTTTTACGGAGGCAAAAAATCTGAGTTATTATCTGTTTCACCATTATTATTATTCAGTCAGTCAGTCATAACGTAGAACTTCGTACGTACATCTATCAGTCCGAGTTGGCATACCACATTAGCACAGAGATGCAGTTGTCGACTCAGATCCCATAGTGGTAGAAGTAGTAAGAGTATAAGTAGTAATCGGAATGATTAGCATTTGAAGATGTTATTCAAGGGGTATAATCCATTGAAATAAATTTGGAAAGAGAGATAAGAATGGGATATGAAGAATTCCGAAGATTAGAATTCGGGTAAACATAAAGAGTGGATGCACCTTCGCCATTGCACACGATTTTGAGCCATGTCATTCAAGGTGTCTAACTATCGGTTGCTATCATCTCGCGGATTCCAACCAAGTAGTCTATACCTACTAACATGGCTCAGTCCACTTATCAGTTATTACTATTATTATTACTAGGATTGTCAGTACAAGTCATCATTTCATTTATTTGTGTATATATGTACTTGCCGACTCTGGGACTGGTTGGAAAAAGCGGGGAGGTGGTTAGTGTATGACATGGTGTCGTGGCATAAAAGAAAGCTGCAAAGGGCTAGCTTTTGTTGGACCTTGACGACTCCCTGGCTGGGGTCCGAGAGATGGTGCAACACAGTGGCTAGAGACGTTATCAGATATGGCTCAGAATAGAAGCCAGTGGCGATCCTGCTGCAATCTTCTTTTACTTTCTTCATAAAGAGTGGTTATTACTTTCTTAACTGAGGGAATTCTTCTGGTTGTACATTTCAGTCCCCTTTATCTTTTCATCCTTTCTCTTCCTATTCTCATTATTTTGTGTGGCGCATATGTATCTGGTGCCCTTTGTACCAATATGTATGTGTTTAAAATAAAATAAAATAGTTATTACTACTACTGCTATTATTATTGTTATTATTACTATTGTTATTAATTGTAGCTGGTGTCTACGTGTCAGCCTTAAGTTATATTCCGCAACTTCAAGGTCTTGCTGTTGGCTTCAGTTTCGGTGGTTGGCAATTATGGTCATTGGATCGACTTAATATGGAGTAAGCGTTCTGTGAATTTCTTTTTTGCAAAGACGTAAAGTTAATCTTCTTAATTATGCCTTATCTTTTGCAATGATGATTTGAATATAGTTATCTCGAGTGTTGTTAGAGGTGTGAGGACAGTTATCACTTCTAGGTTGCCTACACCGTGGAAGGGTTCTTGTAGAGGTACCAGTCACATAACTTTTTGTGAGTAGTGTTGGTGGTTTTTCAACTCTAGGCTATTCTAAACTCACTTCTGGCGACGAGATTCTGTGAGGAAATGGGGAATGTACTATTTTTAAAACCGCCATTTTGTACCTCTCTCCTTTAGTTTTTGGATAGCAGGACTGACAGACGCTAGTTGTATTATGACAACACGTTTTCATCACAACCCAGTTCATGTGGTTGTGCGGCTTCGCCGTCTGACCTTAAGTTTGATACTTTCCAGTTGACCTATCTGTCACAATATGACTTGAGTAGGTTGGAAGAAAGCTAGGGGTGGCCAGACCAAAACGTGGCACAAATCAATGAAGTCACTGACAAGTGGACTGGGCCATGTTGGTAGGTGTAGACTACCTGGTTGGGATTCGCGTGATGACAGCAACCGATGGTTAGAGACCTTGAATGACATGGCTCAAAATCGTTTGCAATGGCGAAGGTGCATCCACTCTTTGTGTTCTACCAAATTCTAATCTTCTGAATTCCCCATGTCTTTATCTTTTTCTCTTTCCAAATTTATTTCACTGTACTATACTCCTTCAATAATTTCTTCAAACCCTAATATTTTGGACTTCTGATTATACTCTTACTACTTCTACCACTATGGGATGTGGTAATGTGGTATGGCAACTCGAACTGATGTACGTACGTACGAAGTTCTACGTTCTGACTGACTGACTGATATGACTTGAAGAAACGAGTATTCCAGCCAATAGGGGCTGGTTGGGTCATCACAATAGGTAAACCCTATCACCACATCAGAATAACAGCCATCGTCGGGTTTTTAATAATCCAGCAGGGAGAAATTACTTTTACATCATCGGTTATCAAAATTGAAGGCTCCAGAATGCCCTGGTTCGGCTGAGGGTAGAAAGTTCGCTTTCGAAATGCTCTCTCACATGGCTACACGTATATGGCCACCTCCAGCGAAGTCCTACTCACTGACTTCTCGCGGCGGGGGTGTCTTTACGAAATTTGGAGACTGAGGAGCCAGTGTCCGACGCCTTGACCGGGTTGATGGGTGCGGAGGATCCACCCAGGGGAGTTGGAAAACCCTGATTCCAAACCAATGGTGTACATAGGCTGACTCCAGGATCCTGAAGGAACAAATGGCGTACGAATCAATCGTTGGTCACCGGCTACCATGGGACTGCATATCCTTACAATGCGCCACTGTCTTGTGGGTCAGACCTTTAGATGTAAGGCTTCCCTAAACCCCGTAAAATAACCACCTGCTTCGTTATGGGTGTCCGGGCAGTATCATAGCTCCCACACAAATCAAGTGACTTGTGTGGCGCATGTGTATTTGGTTTCTCTTTGTAACAACGTTTATATGTCCGAATAAATAATTAGATAATCAGAGTGTTATAATCTATACCATTTTCTTTCTTTTTTTAGATTTTGTTTGCGACAAGCTACTCCAGCTACTCCTGTGGTTAGTTTCAACTTTCTGGAACCTTCAGATGACCCACGATTTTGTTGTTTTATTTGGGTTGGTTGGCAGTCAAAACAAGAGACTGAAAGCGATGGTGTATTTAAATTTACTGGAAAACAGAATTCCATGGGAAACTTTCAAAGGTAAGTTTAGTTCTTAACGAAGGCAATGTATTGGGATATTCCGAAAAGTATCGTAGTTTGTACATTTTTAAAAAGTGTTTGGTATGATAATGATTCTAGAATGTAATATATATGAAAAGAATGAATATCATCGTCTGATTCAAAGCTGTCTATAAGTAATTCAACTTGATTTTAGTGTTAACTTTGTTGAAATATGTATGTGGGCAACTTCCTATGTTAAGCAAAGATGGATAGTGGCTAGCAGTGGAATCCAGGACGCGCGTTTCGTCCTATTTGGGACTTGTCAGCTGGATGTACCTGCATCTCAGAGTTGATGTTCTATGTTCTTTCTCTTATCCTTTAATGGATCGTGAAGAAGTTAAATCGTAACTGAAAAATTTATTTTGCACTATCTGAAGTAACTAACTAGATGGACAACTATTTCATTGTTCTTACATCTTCAATCAACCTTGTAAGTGTTTATTGTTTGCACCGATTTGATCGATCTGGTTTACTGTTGTGTAGTCCGGTGAAACCTATTTAGCTTTTTGCATGTATTTGTAAGGAAAGATGTTACTGCCTTTGACCATGTTATCGAATGCACATAGACACACCAATCTCACTATTCCCGTTACCTTCTCTTTCTCCACGCCATCTCATTATATGTTTGTACTCGGTGTTATCCATCCTGACCTTAGTGTTTAGATTCGCCATCATGATGGCCAGGTAGTTATTGGGCACTTTCATGGGACCGGTGGTAGCTTCTTTGGCGGTCCAGAAAAGGTTAAACTAGGGATAGCTTCATATAATTAACTTTAAAGAGCACTTTGTCGAGTGATATTACTTCGGTTGTTCAAATGAAAGTAGGCATGACAGGATTCGAACTGAAACCAAATGTTTTTTTTTCCGTGTAAAATCGAATTAATGACATAATTGTTTACTTTTAAAGTAAATCAATAAATTAGAATATCCATGAAGTTAGTTTGACTGTCAAATGTCCTGTTACGGCCGAGAGTGGGGAGAATCAGTTCCGTCAAAAAATGCTCTCGCATGGTCACACGTATGTAGCCACTTCCAGAGAAGTCCTACTCATTGCATTTTCGCTGCGGGAGTGTTTACGAAATTGAGAGGAAGAAAAGCGAATATCCGTCTCTTTAACCAGGTCGATGGATATGGAGGGTCCACCTAGGGGAGTTGGTAAACCCTGACTCTAAACCAAGGGTGTACATGGGCTCCAGGATCCTGAATGAACAAATGACGTATTAACTTATTGTTGGTCATCGTCCACCATGAAACCGCATCTTTTTTGTGTATCAGACCTTCAGGTCGCGAGCTCCAAGTGTGGCTTCTTAAGAAAACCACCTGTTTCGGTCTGGGCATCCCTGTAGTATCCCAACCCACACACAAATCAAGTGGCTCATATGTATTTGCTTTCTCCTTGTACCAGTATTTATATCCTCAAATAAATAAATGAATAAGTTTGGTTCCATAGACTGTAAAGTTTGGTGATTATTTATTTTCATTGTTGAAAGCGTGAGTCATTTGAAGCTAGACCACCAGAGAAAACCTGAAAGTATTGGACGGCCAAATCGTCTTATTTTGGGACTCCTCACCAGTGCGCATCCACGACCTCGCCCCGCAAGATTCGAATCGTCGTCCAGTGCTTCCAAGTTTTCTCTGGTGGTCTAGTTTCAATTGACTCACGCTTTCAACTATGAAAATACTGAATCTCCACAAAAAACCCCCTTCTGATTATTTATGGACATCTGTAAAGGGTATAAGTTATAGTTGTTCCATTACTATCTTCATATTCCTCCAACATCAATCATCAATGATGATCACCTACCTGTAACATTATATAAGTAATTTTTATGATACTCATTTCTTATGGTGAATAAAATTAATCTTTAATTTTTTTTTATCTCTTTAATGAAAATGATTAGTCCAACAGTGAAATTATTTCAGTTATCCTATAGACGTCGTTATGAATTATTTTCAAATAAACATAAAGAATTCAATTTCTATTATCAGGTAACTAATAAATATCTCTCTCGTAATAATTGATTATTTATTTTAACACATTATCATTGGTTTACAGGGAGGCACCGGATATATATGCGCCACACTTGTTTTGTGTCTGAGGTCTGTGATACTCCCCGGATGCCCAGACCGAAGCAGGTGGTTATTTTACGGGGTTTAGGGAAGCCTTACATCTAAAGGTCTGACCCACAAGACAGTGGCGCATTGTAAGGATATTCAGTCCCATGGTAGCCGGTGACCAACGATTGATTCGTACGCCATTTGTTCCTTCAGGATCCTGGAGTCAGCCTATGTGCACCTTTGGTTTGGAATGAGGGTTTTCCAACTCCCCTAAATCGACTTTCCGTGTCCATTAACCCGGTTGAAGCGCCGGACATTCGTTTTCGTCCTCTCAATTTCGTAAACAACAGTAATGCCAGGAGAATGCAGTGAGTATTACTTCCCTGACAGATACTGTATATGCATGACCGTGTGAGGGCATTTCGAGAGAGAGAATGTGACCCCTCCCCACTCTCGGCCATACCAGGGCATTTGGGAGCAATAATGTAATTGATGTAACTCTATATTCATTACAGTTTTGTTTTCCTTTAAATTAATAGTGAATATTTTTCTTTTATATTGCAGACTAATAGATGATAATGTATCATTTTGTTCATGAATGTGAACACTTTGATTATGGAATAAGTCATTATTTTTCTTGTTAAGCAATCATTGTTATTCATTTAAGGAGATGACAGTTCTGTCTTGAATAAAAATGTTTAAAAACATTATATCAGAAGTTGTTTTGTGGATATTATGGAAATTTTAATAGTTAAGATCATGAATCAATTGAAGCTAGACCACCATGAAAAACTTGGAAGCACTGGACGGCCGTTTCGTCCTATTGTTGGTCTCCTCAGCAGTGCGCATCCACGTTCCCGCCTCTCCGAATTCGAACCCAGGAACTATCAGTTTCTTGCGCGAGTGCTTAACTATTAGACCACTGAGTAGGCAACCAACAGTGTTAGTGTGTTGATCCTTTTGCACATGTGTTCGACATCCTGAGATAAATAGCTTTTCAATAGTTCTGCAGTTGATACTAGTTCATAATAAAAAAAATATCGGTTAAATAGTTGCTAAAAATCCTTAAATCTTCATGTGGATAACAAAAGAATTTAGAATTAGTACAGTAATAATTCTGACAGTATCCAAACTAAATTGTATTGAGAGTATACTACTAAGGCGTGGGAATACAGATGACAATACTGAGGTTACAGTACAGATACTATCATTCAATTAAATACTTTGATATTCCATCTCTTTGTCTCGTATAAGTTCAATTAATCATCAATAATCAATCGGTCTTGTTTAAGAAAAAAAGTCATTACAGAGGATCATTTTATCTTAATGTGAGTGAGTATCTCATATGTCTACTCACTGCAACTTTACCAAATTCTGGCGTAGTGCATATTGGAATCTCAAAGCAACAAGAGTGTATTTATTTTCACGTTAAAGTATTTTAAAAAAAAATTATTTTGTCTCAATATATAAAATGATCTAACTAAGTGAAGAACTTTTGTTGATCGTCTCAATTGTATATTTAGTTTCTAATTATAAATAACTAACAAGTCAATCATTTATATAAGCAGCGGAATCTAGTTTGACGCGCGTTTCGTCCTATTTGGGACTCATCGGCTGCATGTAATTGCATCTCACACACAATGTTCACTCTGGGACTCGAACCCAGTATCGTTCGCTTCAAACACCATCAGGTTGTCCACTCAGCTGCTGAGTCCTGATAGCCACTTGTTTGTGCAATAGGGTGAAGTTTGAATTCACTTGGTATTGTTTACTTGAATCTTTCCATTGATGTTTAGGACTGCAATTGATCAGTCTCTTATTGGCCACTTGTGCATACTGTGCGTATTGCCTCAATATATCCTTAATTCACAAGCATTATAAGCAAAGATGGACAGCGGCTAGCAGTGGAATCCAGGACGTGCGTTTCCTCCTATTTGGGACTCGTCAGCTGACTGATCGGTTGCGGTCCTGAACATCAATGGGAAGATTCAAACAAACAATACCAAATGAATTCAATCATTTATATACTTTATAATAATTTACTATTTTTTTACTTATTTATATTATATTATTAAAAAAACCCTTATCATATGCTCACTAGTGACTGGCTCCATGAGGTATTTCCTGGAGTTCTAGTGAGAAGCAGTAACCAGTAGAGTTCAACCAGGTCTGTTGGGAGATATCAACTCACTGAAGACATTGGTGAAATGGTTACTCAGATTTCGTGGATTGGTTGAAGTTAAACATTAACACCGTTGGATGCCAGCTCAGTGGTCTATCGGTCAAGTGTTCTGGCGCGAGACTGGTAGGTCCTGGATTCGAATCTCGCTCGCGAGGCGGGATCGTGGATGCGCACTGCTGAAGAGTCCCACAATAGGACGAAACGGCCGTCTAGTGCTTCCAGGTTTTCCCTGGTGATCTAGCTTCAATTGACTCATGATTTCAATCATATATAAAAACTATTTATATTATGACAAACCGTTTCTTTTATTATTTTTAAAGGACTTAATCGGTATTGCAGAACGTTTATCAACAACTTTATCTGGTGATAAAATTGATGATAATAAACCTCAATATACATCTAGATTACTTTCTGTTCAATCACTTCATGCACCGGGTGATTTCATTATGGATAATAATAATAATAATCATCATCCCAACCATACTACTAATAATACTACTATCATTAATCATTCTGTAGGAATGATACGTTTAATTGCTTTTATATGGAAATTTTCTGAATCTATTATTCGTATTGGTCTATTTGATTTGGATCGATGGTATCATGCCCAAATGCCAACTTATATCAGGTATGCAAAATAAATTGGTATTTAACATTTGAGACAAATGATCATAATATAATAAATGAGTTTATAAAGTTTAAAGAGTTTTGATCTTCCACAGTGTGGGCAATTGGGAAGTGATAATTGCCCTCATACCTCTAACAGCACTCAAGATCATTGTATACATAATCAATCTCTTTCTTCAATTCCTACTATTCATTCTACCTCGACTTTCAACACTAAACTTCCTCTTTCGGCTTCCTCCTCAAGTATTACCATGGCCAACGATTTTAGTGCGTGAAACAGTGTCCCAGGTCTACTAAAACAAGGAGATTTGATAACAATATATGTTGTGCATATTGTGGATTAAGAAAGATATGGGATGAAATATATGTCTGTATAATAGTGAAATTGTTCTTACTTAGATAGGTTGGTAAAGTAAAAAGGTTTAGTGAAGTGGTGGTTCAATGGTTTAAGTGTCCGAATTTCAGTCATTAGGTCTAAAGTTTAAATACTACTCCATCTACTTCAGTTCGAGCTTCCGAATGTTATAATTTGACCTTCATATCCAAGGTGTATACGAATGTGTACCTGGTAAAATGAGTCGAATAAACAAATCAAATTCGACTTGAATATAGTTTCTATCATGAAGTGAGTTCACTAACGATTACCGGTTTATCGATGAATTTCCTAAAACCCTAAAGAAAGTAGCCATTTGACATATGTGTGGAGAGAAACGCATATCACGTATAGCTTTGAATGATGGTCTCATTATATTGCAAACTGACTCAAATTTGAACTGTGGTATAAACGATAGACCATACATTTGACATAGTTGTTGTACCCTATTGTTCATAATGCCTTAACCATTCATTTTCAACATAACAAGGACCTTCAATCCAAAAAAACCTACACTTTTCTTGATTATTGGAACTGAGAGCTAGTGATTTATTTGGAATCATATTTCAAGATAATCACAGTGTAACATATCTCAATCATTTCACTTGGTAAGGATTCCCAAATCCACCTACTTATTTACTGTTCTTGTGTAGAAACCTCAAGTGTTCACATGATCAATACCCACTTTTGTTTGTCCTGCGTAGTGAAAGTCAATGACTTCTTTGGTCAAGTATCGATAATTGTCCTACTAGCCATAATTTGCAGTATTAGTGATGTAGTGAACGAGATCACAAGTAGGGGACAACCAAATATATTTGATCACAATGTTACAGAATCTCTTAGTAAAATCTGAGAACCATATAGTAATACTTCATTTGCAAAATGTCGATTAGTTGTCTCAGATTTGACTGTCCTTTCGTTTCCACTCCAAGCACTCTCTGTACTCGTTCTCTTCGATCTTCTTAACCTTCTGCCTCCAGGAGTTTCACTTTCGATGAATGATACTTACTACTTTTATCTGTCGACAACAGTAGCACACACTACAAAATAGATTGTTGAACAGTAAACCCATTTTTTCATTATAACACAAGTATATCGTTATTGGCACAAAATATATTCTTTTGCGTCACACACACATGTGCCAAGTTAAACTATTTAAACCCATAGAACAGTGGGTTAGTAATTATAGACAGTTGGCTTTCTGCAAGTTCAACTCGTTCTAATCTATCTTTTCCATTTTGGGCAGCGAAGTAATATAATTGCCTCACACAATGTGGCTCAAAGCTGAATACCTGTACACTTATTGAGTGAGTTTCAAAAATACACATGCACATCAGAAGAGTTAAAGAATATATTTGCTAACTGATCCTATTCTGAGTTATATTTGTTATGATCTAAATGTCTCGATGGAATTCATGATTCGTATACAAAAACGTCTAACTGATGCATCTTTGAGATGGTGTAGAATATTTGTTGTTCAAGATGAGGACGTTGAAGATATTTTGTTTGCTTAATCGTGAAAGTTTTCCAGTCACATCAAATATCACCTTAGAGAGCGAAACAGTCTTGTTGTAGGTTCTGTCGACCTCAACTTACTCACTTACGCCTGTTACCCCTCGTCGAGGAGCATAGGCAGATCACCAGCATTCTCCATCCAACTCTGTCCTGAGCCTTCATTTCCAGTTCTTTCCAGTCGCTATTCATCCTTTTCATATCTGCTTCTATTTCCCCTCGTAATGTGTTCTTTGGCCTTCCTCTTTTTCGCTTCCATTCCGGATTCCAAGTAAGGGACTACCTTGTAATGCACATTGGTGATTTCCTTAATGTATGTCCGATCCACTTCCAACGTCTTTTCCTAATTTCCTCTTCAGTTGGAAGCTGGTTTGTCCTCTCCCATAAAACGCTGTTGCTGATAGTATCCGGGCCGACCTCAAGATTTCAATTATTTAACTAAATAGATCTATTGATCATTTACTTCATTTTTGAAAATAGTTATCCATAAAGAAAAACTTACATGTTTCTTACCTCATTATAGATCTGATGACACGTTTGTCTCTATTTTTGATGCATTAATTCCAAATAAAAAAGTACAGTTATTGGTAAGTTCAAATCTTTCTTTTTTGACTGTTAACATGAACTTTGGACCTTAGGTCTCGCATGCAAACGCTTAGCCTCTTGACCCCTGAGCCGGTTTTGGGTTCGAGTCTCGCGTGTGTGATCGTTATGCTCACTATTGAGGAGTTGTGTACTAGGACCAAACTGCTTTCCAATGCTTCCAGGTTTTCAATAGTAAACTAACACTGGTCGATTCATTATCTCAATCAAAACTCAACAATTTCCGCAACCCTATACTGATAATTTGAACAACTTCCAAGTTTGCATGCTATTGTTTTTTGAGTCCAGTCAATCTAGCGTCTTAGAAGTATATGTTATAAATTTGTTGTAAGCACAAACTATCTGCGTCTACATATTAACTGCGATCGATGGTTGGGAGATATTGTGTACTATGGTTCCGAATCATTCACAGTAGCGCGAATATCTGTACTCGTTGTCTACCTTTAGCTCTTAAGTTCGAATACTTCTTCATACACAGCTTCTTCTTGGGACATATTCTCAATATCTTTCTCAATATTATCGGTACTAAAATTATTTCAGTGCTTTTGGCATTAATCTTGTTAGTTGCATTTCGTCATGGTGACTTGGTATACCGACTTGAGCTTGGCTATATTTCGCTTTTGACTAATTAGTAATAACTGACAGATACTTCAAACCATATTTCTTAACTACTAGTAGTATATAGAATCCGCGTTTCGTCCTATGTTAAGTTTATTGCACTTATATTTTGTCAAATTAGGGCTCTTTTCACGACTCGATATCAGCTGAGCGGGGCGACACATCGAAAACTGGAATTTATCCGTTGTTTTAATCCACGAGTCCGATTCAGTTACAATTTGCTTATGTTTCCTATAAACACTTAATCAAACTTTTACTCAAACGAAAGAAACTGAGAATCGTTGTAAAACTTCGTTTATTAAAATTGGATCGATAAGTTTAAGAAACCTTGAGTATGCATGCGTTTGTTCTTTAGACTCAGGAAGGATATTTAGTCTGTGTGACCTTGATCGAGTGAATTATTCATTTATTGTAACAGTATCTCTTGTGTGTATTTCCCATATATCTCATTGTAACCTTTGGAGATGTAATCCATCTGGCTTTTATAATATGTTTTATGCACCTGATTCATTTGGTCTATGAGAACCTTAAGGCGGTGTATTATTTTATTTATTTAAACATAAATATTGGTACAAAAAGGTACCAGATATATATGCGCCACACAAATCTCATTTGGTTTGTGTGAGGGCTGTGGTACTTCCCAGGTGCTCAACTGAAGCAAGTGATTTTCTTAGGGGGCCACACCCGGAGCCTTTGACCTAAAGGTCTGATCCACAAGGCATTGGAGCATCGTGAGGAGATGCAGTCCCATGGTAGCCGGTAACCAACGATTGGTTCATACGCCTTTTATTCCTTGAGGATCCTGGAGCCAGCCCATGTGCACCATTGGTTTGGAATGAGGGTTTCCCAACCCCCGTAGGTGTATCTCTCGTGTCAATCAATCAGATTAAAGTGTCGGACGTTGACTTTACTTCCTCTCAATTTCGTAAACAACACCCTCACTACGATGTAGTCCACGGTGTATTCCTACTATGGAACTCCTTAACAATGTATATGAAATAACTATCCTCTATTTGCTAATTTTTAATGGCTCCTATAAAAATCTCTCAGTCAACACTTATGAGGATTCATACGAGTTAGGGGCTATTTTGGCTCATTAGCTCAATGGACAAGGAATTGGCGTTTTGAACGAAACCTTCTAGGATCTGAGTTTTTTTATGGATACCAATGCCGAGTTACATTTAGATGTCATAAAGTTTTTTGACAATTCCTGTTTTACTTTAGTAAAACGGATTGTCTATTACTTCTGTTGAAAGCGTGAGTCAATTGAAGCTAGACCACCATGGAAAACCTGGAAGCACTGAACGGCCGTTTCGTCTTATTATGGGACTCCTCAACAATGCGCATCCGCACTCGCGAGATTCGAACCCACGCTTTCAACTATGAAAATACTAAATCTCCATAAAATCCATTCGGATAATAATATTACTTCTGTTTTATTATTTTTCATCGTTCATCTTTTTTGCTTGACCAATAGCACACCTATCTAATTGAATCAAGTTTAATGTCATTTTGGAGTCGTATTGTTCAACGTGAATCAAATTTAATTAAATCTTGTCAATCATATCCTATTCAATTCAAACCTAATCATATTAATCATTATCATTATAAAAGATTACGTCCTATTCCTGAAGTATTTCTACGTCCATCTTCATTATCATTTCATTGTCTTTTATTTTGGACGAATGATACATCTAATCATAATAATGTATTAAACTTTTCTATCACTCAACTAAATCGTCATCGTACTACTACTCCTATACATCAATATTATGATTGTGTTTATCATCTTAGTCGGATTATGTTTGTTTCATGCCAAGAAGAATGTATTATAGAATTGAATAAGTTTACCCAGAAATCATCATCATCCATGTCATTCTTGAATGTAGATCAAAGTCCTTACAATAAAAAATTTAATCTTATTCAATGGTTATCTAATGCATGGAAATATGGTTTACTTGAATCACCAGGATTAGATCAATTAGATGATGAAGAATTTATAAATTTATTAAATTATACACAAAATACTACTTTAATAAGTAGTAATCATAATTATACTATTGATAATAATGATTATGGTATTCATTTAACAATTGGTGATTATTATGAACAATCAATGATTGATAGTTTAAATAAATTATTATGTAATTTAACAACAGAACAATTAACTAATCATCCATTGAATATGAATCATACCCATGTGGTTGACGATGATGTTGATGATGATGGCGATGACGACGATTACATTTCATCAAAATGTCATTCTAAATATCGTCGAATTGATCAATCCATGAATGTACATAATACAAGAATAAGAAAAGTAAAAAAGAAATATCAATATTCTTTACATCCTTGTTGGGTATTATTAGCTAATTGTTGTTTAGAACATGGTTGTATTAATGTATTAAAGGTAAGCTGTTTTTTATTTATTTATTGAACTACTATTGTGGTATATGTTACTTATGTCTGTTGATATAAGTAGTATGTAACATTATTCGAAAAAGTGAAACGGGCGAGACTAAACTATTTGAACGAGCCAATCAGAAGCTTTCGTGGGTTTTCAAGGTCACGGCGCTTAGTTCGGTACCCGATGCTTACGTACGGTCGGTTTACAACGGATTTTAGAGAAGACGTGGTAATTCAGCGTCTACAAGAGAAGTGATCATAGGATTTTGGCGCGAAGTTCAATTATCTATTTGGATAAATAGAGTTTTGGCATTATAGCTGATGTCAGTTCGTGATGAAAACCCTAAGTATAATTCCTAACCTTAACCAGGAACTGTAAATCATAATTTGAATTCTTCACACAGGCATATAACCCTCATTTAGTCTTAGTTATTATGTTGACAGTCTCAGAGTCTCTCTAGCGTCGCTCTAAGGTCGTCCATAATTTATAGTCCCATCATTAACCCTAAACCATACCGACATACCAACAACATTAAACCTATGTGGTCGAGGCTAAAAGAATTTTTGAGACCTTATCATGGTTCCAGAGGTCGACTACTATGGAGCCACATGGATGAGTTCCTGTGCCGGATGCACTATGATTTTATAACTTCTGAACCTATATCTAACCTTGATAAGTTTTTGAGCCATGTAAAAGAACAGTATCCGCTTTGATTTTTTAGTTTTGTATAATATATTTTTACTCTATACTGTCTTCTGGTTGGCTAATATTTCTCAAGGTCATTTAAAATTCGTTCAAAGGTCGTCCATATAGTTTAGTCTCACCGTGAAACGACCGGAAGCAAAAAGTTGTAAGGTTGAATCAAAAAGAATGTTTTTCTTACTAGGCCACACCCGGAGCCTTTGACCTGGAGGTCTGATTCACAAGGCAGTGGAGCATCCTGAGGAGATGCAGTCCCATGGTAGCCGGTAACCAACGATTGATTCATTCGCCATTTGTTCCCTCAGGATCCTGGAGCCAGGCCATGTGCATCATTGTTTTGGAATGAGTGTTTTCCTACTCCCCTAGTTGGACTTTCAGTGTCCACCAACCCGGTTAAAGCTCCGGACATTCGCTTTTCGTCCTCTCAATTTCGTAAACAACAGTAATGCCACGAGAAGGTATTGAGTAGGACTTCTCTGGCAGAGACTATATAAGCGTGGCCATATGAGAGCATTTGGAGAGGGAGAGCTGTCTCTCCCAACACGCGGCCGTAGCAGGGCATTCGGGGGCACAATTTACGAAGGAACTCTGTAATTATATGCTAAATAATATGTTGGTTATCCCTACCTGACTGTTCGTTCATTACACTATTACTATTATTGAGTTTATATATTAGTAGTTGGGAATTAATTGGATGTTTTAAATTTACTGTTGGTATATATCCCAATTTAAAACTATCATTTGATATTTAAGTTAGATACTGACTAATATTGGAGTCCAAAACGCGTGTTTCCTCGTATTTGGTACCTATTAGATCTATGTGCCTAGATTCAATTATTGATCGTCATATTAGGAATCGGACGAAGTACCTTCCTCTCAACAAAGAAAAAACTATCGGGAACGTTTATCGGTGTATGTTGTTGTTAAGGCGATTATGGAATTGCTTAATTTTTTTTATGAATGCTAAAGTCTTGCTGGTAACGGTTGCTACAAATGCTTTTTTCTAACTCAGCTTTTCCTATGATCTTTTCTCTTTTTTGATTGTTTGCCACTACTCTTAGCTCACTAATCATTGTTGTGCTTAAGGTCATGCTTTCGTAGTATATCCAGTGAGCTCTACCGTTTTACGTTGTTTTGCTCAAATATGAAGTTTTCCTTGCACTTAGCGGCTAATTGTTGAAGTGTCGTATGGCAGCCGCTGTTATCAAATTTTCAATAGAACCATTCCTATTAAAATAACTCCACCGTCCTTTGAGTCGCAAATATCGTAGGGAAATCGGAAACCTAAGTAGACAATCGTTCTTATCACCACTTATCAGTCATATATATTTATATATGTCATCTTATCATCGTCATTTGGAGTGGTGGAAAAATTTCAGCCTCCTCTCATTTCTTCAGTTTTTAAGGGCTGGATTAAGAATGTTTAGGAGGATAGCTGACGTTCCATCGAAGTTTATTTTGCGTTTCTATGCACTCATACGTTTTTGTTACGAGTTGTAAAACTTTACGCCTGGTCACAGCAGTGAAATTATTTACTCTATCTTCTTTTAACCTTTTTATTTATATCCATTAAATATATTCTCCTACTTAAGAATTTAGATAATTTATCTCCACCTGGACAAGATTCTCCAGTCAATCTAAATTTCAAATATAGTTGGATATGGCTACGATTTTGTAGATTGAAATCTCGTTTTGACAAATTGACAAGTGTACTATTTATGCCAAAGTCATCCGATGAAGCGGAATCAGTTTTATCGAATTCAACGGATCATGGTCATTCAAGAATACCCGATCTTTTAGAATTGGGCTGTACGATTAATCAAGTAGGTTTTTTTATTCAGTTGTGTATTTTTTAGCACATTAGTTAAAACACCAAGGAATTGAACACAAGTCAGTCAGTTAGTCATACACAATGTAGAACCCGATGTATATGTGCATTGGGTTGAATTTCCACTCTATATCAGTATAGCGAGATACCACAGTAGTATAAATAGTCACAGTACCAATAGTAATGGAAAAGACTAGGTATAAGATGTGAGATTCATATAGAAAGTATGGATTCGTGTAACAATAAACTTTATTTTGACGTAATAAAGAAACTTAGAATCTGAGGAAAGACGAAGAATTAATACACCTGTGCCACTGCGGACGATTCTGAACCGTTTCACGCATAATTTCTAGTCATTGGTTGGGATTATCGAGCAGACTGCAACCAGGTATTCTGGATTGACCTATATGGCTCGGATCACTAGCCATTGACTTTATAAAGTGGTGTTACATTTTCGTTTGTACCTTCGTAACCTTCTTCCAATCTACTCGTATGTCAACCAACATTGTGCATCTAGCTAGGCGGCGGTCGGGGTTACTTAATACGTGCCCCAACCACCTCAGTCGATAAAGATTCACTGCCTTGTCAACTAATGTGCCATTCTCATCTAGTACTCTGCCTTTAACCGCATTATTCCTCACTCTGTGGTCCTAGCGTATTGAGGCATTACCCAGTAGGTTTTCATAGTGTCAGCTAAGTTGGTTCAAATGTATCCGAGTCTGAGGGCAAAGTCGAACTGCTTCTTTTATCGGAGTATGATGGTTAAGTGGCTCCCACGGATAACTATCATCTTCAGTGAAACTGTCTTTCATACAACTGATAGAGGGATTGAAAAATTGTCCCATTTAATAATATTCATCATATGATCCCATTAGTGATTCTGTGATCAGAGTCCCAGACTGACAGGGCCTTCACTAAATATCGATTTTACTTTTCATATTCCTCGAAAAGTAGTCTTCCATGGTGTTGGTTACTGGTAAGTATTATCCATCCAAATATCTGTAGCAGCATTCGTCCTCATCTTGACTGACTGATTGATGTATTTTAACTGATTCATACTTTCTTGGGCATCAAACCCGACCGTTGCTGCTACCTTGACGTGGTGGTCAAGCTTGCCTATCGTGATGAACCAATCGAGCTATACTGCCTGGCAGGTCGGTTGAAGAGCGGTAAGACTAAAAGTAGCAAACTCAAGGTTCGAAGGTGAAGTCGTACTGCTGACTGTACAGAGGTGTGAAGGCAGTAAGGTGTTTCCTTCAGACAACCAGAATAACTGCGATTCTGCCTTCCCACAAGAAAGGCTGAGGTTAGAAAAGGTCGACCCTAAAAATACACACCTCACCTTATCCCACGCATATCCGTCTCCGGCGGTAAGGTTCCAACAAGTACGTAGCTAACACAAAAACTACCCACAAAAAGGTCGTGTGTAACCGACCTCAAGCAGTTGTCCCTTGGGCACTGCGGTCACGCTTTCAGGTCATTAAGACCATTTCTCACCAAGAATTAGATAGGGTATCATTATTTATTACTACTGGTATTACCTACTGACTGATTAACGTATACTTATAATTTGTAAAACATTCCCTTTATACTTATCTATGTATCTAATATTTATTTAGATTGAATTATTGGCAACTTTATCAAAACATTGGTTCATTGGGAAGAATTACAATTCCACGACTACCACTAATAGTCCTAGACTTCATTTGTCAACTTCAAGACAACATCCAATAGAATCCAGTATCAAAACATATTTATCTTATGCAAAACTTGTAGTTTTTCTATTTCGTTTAGGTTTATTACCACAAGTAGATGAAAGATTGAATGACAAGTTAGTTAGTTTTGGTTTTTTTCTCAATGAAATGTTTTTATGTTTCATTGTATCTTCAGTAGTTTAGTGTTGCGATGACAACTATTGAATTGTTATTTGTCGATATGTATCCAAACTAGTTTTATGTTAAGTAAATATGCACTAGAATACCTAATTATTTTTAGGTCGATAGAAATCTAGACATTAATTTATACTATCTGAGAGGATGAAAAGTGAATGTCCGGCCCTTTAACCGGGTTTGTGGACACGGAAAGGCCACCTAGGGGAGTTGGAAAACCCTCATTCCAAACCAATGGTGTACATGGGCTGGCTCCAGGATCCTGAATGAACAAATGGAGTATGAACCAATCGTTGGTCACCGGTTAATATGGGACTGCATCTCCTTACGATGCTCCACTGCCTTGTGGATCAGATCTTTAGGACAAAGGCTCGGGTTGTGGTCCCTTAAGAAAACCACCTCCTTCGGTTTGGGCACCTGGACAGTATCACAGCTCACTCAAAAATCAAGTTACTTATGTGGCGCATATTTATTCGGTGCCCATTTTTACCAATATTTATGTGTTCAAATAAATAAACAGATAAACTATCTGTATCTACAATTAGTATGGTTTGTTTGAATTTTCCCATTGATATTTAGGTCTGCAACTGGTCAATCTGTAATTGGCATATGTGCATACTGTGCGTATTGCCTCGATATAGCCCAAATTAACAAGCATGGTAAGCAAACATGGATAGTGGCTAGTAGTGCAATCCAGTTGCAGTCCTAAACATCAATGGAAAGATTCAAGCAAACAATACCAAGTGAATTCAAACTTCACCCCATTGCACAATAAAGTGTCTATCAGGACTCAGTAGTTAAGTGGATAATGCGATGGCGTTTGAAGCGAGGGTACTGGGTTCGAGTCTCAGAATGAACATCAACTCTGAGATGCAGGTACATTCAGCTGACGAGTCTCGAATAGGACGAAACGCGCGTCAAACTGGATTCCACTGCTAGCCATTATCCATCTTTGCTTATCTGTATCTACATTTATATAGCTTGATAAGTAGAGTGAGTAATATTTCTAGCATACAGACTGCTTTGAACATCAGATGTAGACAAATTTTTGCTCTTTGTCTTATTTTCTACTAATTATGAAAAAGAAATAAAATTTTGACACGAAAATGTTTTCAAGTTTTTGACGAAAGTTGACAAGCTGAGGAACTTTATGATACAAGAAATTTGGAATGGAATAAATCATTCAGTCAGTCACAACGTAGAACTTCGTACGTAAGTACGTCAGTTCGAGTTACCATACCATATTAGCACAGAGATGCAGCTGTCGATTCAAATCCCATAGTGGTAGAAGTATAAGCATTATTGTGAAAAATTAGGGTTTGAAGATGTTATTCAAACCCTAATGGAATAAGATATATCAATAGTTAAGCGAAAACTTGTGATTAAGGCAGTAAGAAAGTCACATAAACGAAATCTTAATAATTACTGATTAAAAATTAGATGTACTAATGCTTGAAAAAAGTAGCTTTTAAGGTTTGTCATTCTTCTGTTCATAACATCCTCCACTTATTTCTTTATAAAAGGTTGTGGTACGACCATTTATAAGGATGCATATCGTAGAGGAATAGTTTGCGTCGTGATAGTGGAGAAGATTTGTAGGTCGAGTGGATGATTTAGGTGGAGTTTTGTTCTCTGAGCTGGACAACTCGGCCGTGGAGCTTTCATTGTTCGTCTGAATAACACCAGCACAAACTCAGCGTGGAAGTGAGGTGTTTAAATTTCTCCACATATGACTCATAGTTTATCCTGTCGACCACTAACTAATCAAGATCGAGGTCAACAGAACAAGCTATGAGTTGTATATGGAGAAATTTAAACACCTCACTTCCAAATCAAGTTTGTGCTGATGGTGTTATTCAAAAGAACAATGGAAGCTACACGGATAAATTATCCAGCTCAGAGAGCAGAACTCCACCTAAGTACTGTCTTTTTTTTCCCTGCGGAAAATTGTACGGTCTTCATTTAAATAATGGTTATCAATCATCTAAAAACTAATTCACCAAAGAATACCTATTCAGATTTCGTGTTTCTCTTTTACTTGCATCGTCGTAACACCAAGAATAACAATGACAACACTAGCTGATATTTTTCGTACATGACGCTCTTTTAATAATCTTACATATACTATATCAGTAGTATATGAATATGGTATTTCAATTTAGTGTTTTTTTAATGATTTTTATTTCAGTAAATTCTCTACAGATTCATCCTATCGAATTAATAGTACAGTTCTTTTACCATACAATTCATCAATGCTAACTGAAACAATTTCTGAATTACGATGTACACGTCACCATCCTGTCGACCTAGATATAAATAACAACAATAATAATAATGACTGTAACACTAATCGACTAACATCTCTTAGTGAACACATTCTCTATGCTTCACTTCAAGCACCGTCGAAGCATTTCAATAATAGTAATTGTACAAATGACAATTCCTTGACTAATAATGAAGTCTATGATATCTGGAAGGAACAAGAACACTTAACATCATCATCATCAGCCACATACAAACCAATCAACTTATCTCATCATTCTAATCAAGTTCAATCTTCATTGAATAGTAATGAATTACCAGAATGGTTAAATTATCCCCCAAAAAATTTACAATCCTTATGTGCTTTATGGCAATTACCATATAATCGACAAATTAAAAAATCACGATTAATTTTACTTGGATTTATATTATGTGATTCAGCAGCTGAAACATTGCTTCATTCAAATGATGAGGAATATTTAAATGATCCTTTGGATCAAGATCATACTGATATTAGTAATAATAATAATAATGATAATGATCTTGTCAATAGTAATGGAAAGGTTCAAACTACTCAAATGATTGATCATATCAAGTCTACGAATTCTAGTAGTTTACGTGCATTACAATTGGTAAGTGTAATGAATTAAGTTATTATTTTATTTTATTTGAACATATAAATATTGGTACAAAGTGGCACCAGATATATATGTACCACAAAAATCTCATTTGATTTGTATGAGGGCTGTGATACTACTCGGGTGCCCAAACTGAAGTAGGTGGTTTTCTTAGGGGACCGCACCCAGAGCCTTTGACCGAAAGATCTGATCCACAAAGCAGTGGAGCCTCGTGAGGAGATGCAGTCCCATGGTAGCCGATGACCAACGATTGATTCACATGCCATTTGTTCCCTCAGGATGCTGGAGCCAGGCCATGTGCAACATTGTTTTGGAATGAGGGTTTTCCAACTCTCCTAGGCGGATCTTCCGTGTCCAACAATCGGATTAAAGTATCGGACATTCACTTTTCGTCCTCTCAATTTCGTAAACAACAGTAATGCCACGAGAAGGCAGTTAGTAGGACTTTCCTGGCAGAGGCTATATACGTGTGGCCATGTGAGAGCGTTTGGAGAGTTAGAGTGGACTCTTCCCACTCTCGGCCGTACCAGGACATGTGGGGGCGGTTGGAATAATGACCATAATGTTGATCGGTAAATGATATATTGTTATATAATGTGGTCGATTGACAGCTGCTTACGAGACAGAATCGTTTTCAAGTAACCCGCTACATGACTTTGTATGCAATGAAGGCGAAAATATCGAGTACAATTGATTTTTCTTCTTATGAAGTGATATGCTTATATATGAAAGGATTTGTACAACAGTTAAATATAATTGAAATTTATATAGTTGAGATCATGAATCAATTGAAGCTAGACCACTATGGAAAACTTGGAAGCACTGGACGACCGTCTCGTCCTATTTTGGGACTCCACAGTAGTGCGCATCCATGATCCCGCCTCGCCGGATTCGAGCCCTGGACCTACCGGTCTTGTGACAGAGCACTTAACCGATAGACCACTGAGCCGGTCGGCATCCAACGGTGTTAATGTCTAACTTCAACCAATCCGCAAAATTGAGCAGCCATTCACCAATGTCTTCAGTGAGTTGATATCTCTCAACAGACCTGGTTGAATTCTACTGGTTACTTCTTCTCACTAGAACTTCAGGAAATACCTCATGGTGGTCTAGCTTCAATTAACTCATGATCTCAACTATATATTTGAATATTTATAATCCTTAATTATTTTTCATGTTTTCTTTTGAATTTTGTATAGTGTCGTTATGTAATGTCATTATTTATCAAAGAATTCCCTACGGTTTATTCACTTGTTCCTACAATTATATCACTTTGGCTTATGGATCGGGGTTATTTTCAAGTAAACAAAAAAATTGTATTCATATTAAATGTTTATTTTGTATGTTTTTTGTGTACTACCCTGTAATCTCTTGATCTTCTTTGATGTGTACTTAGACCGGTTGCATAAATGAATTGAAATTATGCTTTGTTTTATTTAAACATACATATTGGTGCAAAGGGGTACCAGATACATATGCGCCACACAAAACAATGACAATGGGAAGAGAAAGGGGTAAGGTGCATATATATAAAAGGGTGAGAAAAAAGAGAAGAGTAATGAGGGGGGGGGAGGACTGAAGTGTACAACCAGAGGACTCTTTCAGTTAAGAAAGTTATAACCACTCTTTATGAAGAAAGTAAAAGAAGGTTATAGCAGACACGCCACTGGCTTCTATTCTGAGCCATATCTGATAACGTCTCTAGCCACTGTGTTGCACCACCCCAACTAAGGAGTCGTGAAGGACCAACAGAAGCCAGTCCTTTGCAGCTCTCTTTCATGCCACGACACCATGTCATACATTGACCACCTCTCCGCTTTTTCCAACCAGTCCCAGAGTCGTCGGCAAATAATGCACGACGTGGAATTCTCTGGGACGACATTCGTCAAACATGTCTGAAGTCGGTGTTTCAAGATGATGACATCAATTGAATTATCGTCTCTGTGCCCGAAATCAGGCTAAATAAATTCAATTCGATTTATATTTTGATTGGATATTAACAATGTTACTGGTTACTGAAATCAAACATAGAATAACACAAAACATCAAATATAGGTACATCTACTTCAGTTCTGGCCTAAGTATGTGACTCAGTGAATGAGCTGACTTCTTAGTTTTTTAAAAATAGCAGATAAACATTAGGTGTATATGTATATCGTTATGTGGACGCAAGTACCAAATACTAATGATTGTATTGCAGGTAACTAGGTTTTCATCGAGGACCTTCCATCTGAATTAACTAACTAGAAATATAAATAGAATCTTATTCTAATCCAGTTCTTCCAGCTAGTTAAGCATAAACAACGTAGAATCTGATATGGATGTTTATTAACTGGAATTATCATCCTACTAAGTCAAGACCTTGAAAGGAAATGAACATGTAGACAAGTAGGGAAATCGACTTCCATTGAAATGATAAGCTAAAAATATGAAAAATCTAGTTCAAAATGAATAGTTAGCACTAATAAATGAAATATAATGCATTATATGAAATTGCCGATTTATTGATAAGTGAAAACTATCAGTTTAGGTTTGTGGAGATAGCTGAATGGATCAATGATAGGCCACCGTTGAAAACCTGTAAGCACTGGACGGTTCACTAGTGACTCGGTTCATGATGGATTTCCTGGAATTCTAGTGGGAAGCCGTGATCAGTGGAGTTCAATCGTGTCTTTTGTGAGGCAGTTACTCACTGAAGACAGTGGTGGATGGTCGCGAAATATTTTGGATTGGTTGAAGTTAGACATTCACACCATTGGATGCTTGCTCACAGTGGTATAGAGGTTGACTGTTAGCTCGCGAGACCGAAGGTCTTGCGTTCGAATCCTGCTGGCGGGATCGTGGATATGCACTACTTAAGAATCCTAAACTAGAATTAGAATGGGACGGTAGTCTAGTGCTTCCGTGATTTAATGGTGGTTTAACATTGATCCATTCATGATATCGATCTAAAATGAAGAATAATTATAACTGTATTATCGCGAAAGATTTCGGTCCATTCCATCTAGCGTCCCCATTTACGTATAATGCGATTATCATGCATGTTTTTATCAAGAAATTCAAAATTACTAACAGAACTTCGTTCAGTTGTCGATAACTTCATGGGAAAATGTCAAGCCTTCGTTTGACACTATTCCTAACATTCTCACAATCTACTTGTATGTATGTCAGTATAATTACGTAGTATCTTATTAGTACAAGCTCAGCTGATGATTGAACAATTTGGTTGTTTTATGATATAACGTATTGTTTGTTCAAAACCAACAGTCTATGGTAAGGTTTAGAAAGTACAGAGCTGACACATCAACACCACTATTCACAAAAAAAGATACTATTTGACTGCCCTCGGGCAGTTGTTCCTTTGATTCTGCAGTCAAATTCCCAGGTCATTAAGACCACTTCGAAACCGTTCTATTTTTCAGGTCATTTCACATTGTGAGAGTGACAATCTTTATCATACCTCTATTACCATTCGAGATTGATTTGTACTAGACACAGATGATGTCATGTAGCAATTGAATCATACACTTCGAATAATTTCAATATCATAAAAGCTATCTTGTATTTATAAATTCATTTAGTATTGTTTGTTTGAATCTTCCCATTGATGTTTAGAATTGCAACTGGTCAGTCTGTAATTGGCATATGAGCATACTGTGTGTATTGCCTCGATATAGCCTTAATTCACAAGCATTATAAGCAAAGTTGGATAGTGATTAGTAATGGAATCCACGACGCGCGTTTCGTCCTCAGTAGCCTAGTGGATAACGCGATGATGTTTGAAGCGAAAGGTACTGGGTTCGAGTCCCAGAGTGAACATCAACTCTGAGATGCGAGTACATCCACCTGACGAGTCCCGAATAGGACGAAAAGCGCATCAAACTGGATTTCACTGCTAGCCACTATCCATCTTTGCTTACAATATCTTGTATATATATTTTTTTGAAATAACCTAATACATAATATCCTTCTGTTGTTAAAGAAACCTATTTCTTTCCATTCTAAATTCTAGGAGTCCATATCTTCTGATATCATATCTTTCATTATGAACTCTTCTGAAATACCATCATCCTATCAAATTCATAGTGATATTTTTCCAAATCAAATTCATTTCATCATACATTTATTCAATATGTATGGTCAAGGAGATTTAATTCATGACCTATTGAAACATTTAACCAATAACAGCAGTTCCTCGTCATTGAATTACAATCCAAACAACTTGAAAGTATCATCATCTTTTCGACAATTCTTCAATAAGACTAGTACTACTACTCCTACTCCTCCTAATTCTATCACTATGAATCATAATAATAATAATGATCATAAATTCAATATGAAACCTATTGGTGCACCATATTTAGCTTTATCAAAATTACGTAATTTAATTTATAAAATGAATCGATTACATAATCAAACACCTTTACCAATGAAAGTATTAAATTCTATTGATAAATTAGCTCGTAATTCTTTTATTCAATTAACTGAAATATGTAGACAAGGTAAGATGATGATGATGATGATGTTTAATGTGTCTTTAATGTCATTTGTTTTTATTAAGCATAATACCAATTATCTGGTTAGCGTTTTTTTAGAGAGTTGGTTTTCTATGGGATGGGGTCGTTAACCCCATGTCCAACCCTTCTCCTTTACCCGGGCTTGGGACTGGCAGTAGCCCCCGAAGGAGCTACAGGCTGAGTTAATACCAATTATCATGTCTGTTAATTTCGTTAATGATGATAACTCAGTCATTCAGTCAGCTACAACGTAGGACCAGGCACACATATGCATCGGTCTAAGTTGCCATACTTCGTTAGCACAACAAGATGAACACCGGATTCATAGAAGTAATTAATTTAGTGGTGGTATTATATAAAAGAGATATGTTGTATAGAAGGATATAGTATAGGGAGGAAGAAAGTTATGAAGCAATTTTAATCTCAAGGTCTAAGGGAAGATAAAGAGTGTATGCACCTACACCATTGTGATCGATTCTGAGCCATGTCACCTAGAGTCTCTAACCATTGGTTACGATAGTCACGTGGACCCCGACTAGGTAGTCTGCATCTACCATCAACATGGCTCAGACTAGAAGTTAGTAACTTCAAACACTGATACCACGTTTTGGTTTGGCCACTCCTAACTTTCTTCCAACCATTCTCAACACTAGTCATCATAGCGCGTCGTAGTAATCGGTGTTCAGGCATGCGTAACACGTAACCTAACTATCGCAGTCGAAGATAACTAGTTTGATATCGAAGCATTTCTTATATAACAGTAATCTAACGTGTATAAATTAATTCAGTTTTAAATGTTTTATGATGTAGTTTTGTTTACTAACTAGTAATAAAGTCCATTACATACGTTTCATTCTCCTTTGTAGGACTCTTTAGGTGACATTCACATTGTTATTTGAACCGCGGTACCTATTACTTTAAACTTCAGAGACTTATAATCTAGATTACTGAGTCATGATAACCACTAACTCAATATTTTCACTTAATAAGCCTATTATGCTAACAGAAACTGATCAGATGCAAATCGTGAATCTCAACAGTGGAAAAATGTAGACCTTTACGTACAATAATTCAAGAATGATGAGCGCTGTTGTTTGTGGTGATTCCTAAATCCTATAGTCTACATCACATATCAGCCGTCGAATGTCAAATCAGTGGTCTAAATGTTAAGCGCTTTTCACGAGACCCAAAAGTCTTGGGTTTAGTCCTCGATGAGATTATTATTATTATTATTATTATTATTATTATTATTAGCTTGATTCAATATTATATTATTTGGTACAAAATCGAATTCTCAGCATAAAGTATTTCAACATATTTACGTTTCTTATTTCTTCGTTGCTCCTGATGATAAACATTCAGTGATCGCCAGTTGGATGTCAGAAGTTCAGTCAATCGACATATGAATAATGTATATCCTTTTTTGCTGCATGTTCCCAGCAAACACGACATCTCTGATTAGACCTTTTCTAACTTTTACAGCGAAAGGTTGTACAGTTTTCAGAAACGCACCGGAATAGGTTGTGTGCTTAATAGCCATAATGATGTATTAAAACAAACAATATTAGATAACTTGTTGAAATATATAGATGACGGGAAACAGGTAGCCCAGATGTTTAAGCAGGCCGCCCGATGTATTGTAGATGCTCACTTCTTAGAAGTCCTGTACTACGATGAAGCAGTTATCCAGTACTTTAACGATGATCTAGCTATAATAGGTTCTTGGTTTAAACTTTGAAATTTCATTTATACTCCTTAGATGTTCACTACACTGATCGATTTTATCTCTTCTTGTTTCTCTGTTTTCTTTGCTTCATTTATTTAGCTGGTCGTTTAAGTGATTTAATTAGTTTAGGTTTAAATAGTTGGGAAGCAAAAGTGTTATTTGAATATTATGAAAAAACTGGACAACAGAATTTATTATTTCATTGTTTAATTGCACGTTCACATTATCAGGTTAGTATATATATATTTGTAATTTCAATTGTGTTTCCGTGTCTGTGTACATGAATGTGCATACACTTGGATACAAGATGGTGGTTGGAGGTGGTCAACAGGGAATCCTGGACTCGGGTTTCGTGCTACTTGGCACTCATCAACAAGGTGTACCTGTAATCTTAAGGGAACTGGTGTCACTTAGCTTCACAGTCAGAGACGTTACCACTGAGCTATTCGGGCCGCGACTGACCTCCTGTAGGACTGAGATGTAATCACAATTGATTGATTACCACCCGATGATCAATCACTTGTTACACTTGGATACATTTTTTATAATTTATAATTGCTAAGAAAATCTAAAGGTTATCCGTAATTCAACATAATGCCTTAATTATTCTTACTTAATATTGACCTTCAAGGCCCCCCAGTGCCCTGATACGGCCGAGGGTGGAGAGACTCAGCTCTCCCTCGAAAAATTCTCTCACATGGCCATGCGTATACAGTCACTGTCAGAGAAGTCCTACTCACTGCCTTCTCGTGGCATTACTGTTGTCTACGAAATCGAGAGCACTTTGTTCCACTACCTTGTGGATTAAATCTTTAGGTCGAAGGCTCCGAGTGTGGCTTCCTAAGAAAACCACCTGTTTCGATCTGAGCACCTGAACAGTATTACAGCTCTCATACAATTCAGTGATAACTGATACTGGTCTCATTGCTATGATGTAGCGCAAATGTATTTTGTACCCCCTTGTACCAATGTTTATGTGTTCAAATAAATAAATAAATAAAATAGTCTCAACTGATTTTGACACTTAAATCAAATATCACCCGTAAATGCCCTGATACGGCCGAGAGTGGAAAAAGTCCACTCTCCCTGTCGAAAAACGCTCTCATGTGGCTAAGCGTATACAGCCACTACTACGGAAGTTCCACTCAATGCCTTCTCATGGGATTACTGTTGTTTACGAAATTGAGAGCAAGAAAAGTCAGTGTCCGATGCTTTAATCCGGTTGTTGGACATGGAAGATCCACCCAGGGGAGTTGGGAAACTTTGATTCGAAACCAGTGGTGTACACGGTCTCCAGGATCCTAAGGGAACAAATGGCGTATAAACCTATTGTTGGTCACCGGCTACCATGTGACTACATCTCATGACGTTGCTCTACTACTTTATGGATTAAACCTGTAGGTTAAAGGCTCGAGTATTGTGGTCCCCTAAGAGAATCACCTGTTTCGCGTTGTGCACTCGTGTAGTATCCAAGCCCTCTATTTGGTGACTCCTTGAACCAATTTTCATATGTTTAAATAAATGACATCAAATATCATCACCCTCAACAAAGATATATCATATATAGTTGGGATCATGATTCAATTAAAGCTAAACCACCATGGAAAATCTGGAAGCACTGGACGGCCATTTTGTCCTATTATGGGTTTCCTCAGCAGTGCGCATCCACGATCTCACCTCGCGGGATTGGAATCCAGGATCTATCAGTCTCGCGCGCGAGGCCGTCCAGTGCTTTCAGATTTTCCATAATGGTCTAGCTTCAATTGATTCATGATCTCAACTATATAAAATTCCTAAAAATCTTCACAACCCCCCCCTTTCTGAAAAATGTATATCAATTTGTTCTTGTACAACATTCTATTGAATACTAACCTTTCTTTTTTAGACTGCTATGGATATATTGAATAATAATAATAATAATTCTACGAACCCTATTAATTCTACTATCCATACCCTTGATAATGATAATAATGATCAACGATTCCAAGTTGAACTAATGAAACAATTAATACATTCATGTTTACCATTATTAAATTTAAATGAATTAAATCATAAATCTGCTCCATTAGATCATTTTAAAGCATTAGCTAATGAATATGTCAATCTAGATGATTATCAAACCAATTCTGAATCATCTTCATTCATTCATCATCATCATCATGTGGATGATGACGATAATGATCAGCATCATCTATTCACCCAGTCACAATCATCATTACCATCACAAATGGATCATAGAGATTTTATTACTTATAAACAAACTACACCATTAATCTATCCATTAACAGATTTAAAGAAGCCGAAACAACCGACACCTTCCTCTTTATCATCCTTATCATTATCAAATAAGTATCCATTGAATTCTCATATTGGTAATCAATATTTCTATGATAATATGGATGATAATAATGATAATAATAATAATAATAATAATAATAATAATGATCATAATATAGAAAATGAAATGATTAGAAATAATCGTATTCACAAATCAAATTCATGGTTATTAACTACCAATAAAAAAAGTCGACAAGAATTTTGGAATACATTCAAAGAGTTAGTTTCATCTTCTTCTTTTACTTCTTCGTAGTTTTGTTTCTTATTCTGTTTTAATTGAATGATCAACAGAAATGTAGGTGTATAGATCGTTGGATGCTGTCTCAGTGGTCTATCGGTTAAGTGTTCTGGCGCAAAACTGGTAAGTCTTGGGTTCGAATCTCGCGAGGCGGGATCGTGGATGCGTACTGCTGAGGAATCTCACAATCGAACGAAACAGCCGTCCAGTGCTTCCAGGTTTTCCCTGTTGGTCTAGCTTCAATTGACTCATGATTTCAACTATGAAAATACTAAATTCTCCACAAAACCCCCTCTGATCTATAATCATATGCTCACTAGTGACTGACTTCAAGAGATATTTCCTTGAGTCCTAGTGGGAAGCAGTGGCCGGTGGAGTTCAACCAAGTCTGTTGTAGAGATATCAACTCATTGAAATCAATTGTTGAACGGTTGCTCGAATTTCGTGGATTGGTTAAAGTCAGACATTAACACCGTTGGATTCCGACTCAGTGGTCTATCGGTTAAATGCTCTGGCGGTAGACTGGTAAGTTCCGGGTTCGAATCTGGCTAGGCGGGATCGTGGATGTGCACTGCTGAGGAGTCCCATAATAGGACGAAACGGTCGTCTTGTGCTTCCAGGTTTTCCATGGAGGTCTAGATTCAATTAACTCATGATTTCAACTGTGTATAGATCTATTGTTACTAAAGTTTGAAAAGAGGTATTTCATCGCTGACAAACTAGTTGGTTGTATACTTTTATAAAATAAAAAAATATTCAGCATCAAGTCAAAGCAATTTTGTGAGGGTCAATTTAATTTATGAGTTTTGTTTGTCACTGACATCCATTTAATCTTAATGTGGGACTCTTCAGTAAAGAGCAATTACGACTTTGCCAGACTTGTTAGAAGTTAGATGACTAACACTAATGATATCAGATGGTCGTCGTCGTTCTATATTGCAGATTGATTTAAATTGCAATTATTACCTTCATACATTGACCTGATAGTTTTAATGGTAAAATGTTCACTGTTGGACTTGAAGATTCTGGATTCAGTACCTGGTGTAATCGTTGGTGCAGACAACTTATGTGTTCCAAACAGGGACGAAACAGCTGTTCAGCACTCCTTGATTTTCAGTAGTATTCTAACTCAAATCTGTAATAAATACAATTTACATTCACTGTATGATTATTTTGTTCACATGATCAACTTGATATCTAATTGTTTGTGAGGGTTAGTAACTCTATTTAAATGTTGATTGGGATAAAGTGGACTCCGAATCTGCAACTTATTAGTTGAAAGATTGAGTAGTTTTACTATTAATTCATCTCTGCACCAGCTCTATAGAGGAACTAATTTGATATTTAAATGTACATGACAACAGATAAGTAAAATTTGCTGGGGTATACTACTAACTGAACGGAAGAAAATTAGCAAAATCAGATGAATAATTGCTTACCTTGATAAAATATCCCATGTGTCACGATTGAGTGAAAGTATTGGAGTCAAATCAAAATATAGTAGTTTTGTTCAGTTAGTCAGTCAGTCGATCTCAACGGAAAAAGGTGTGTTGGTTCAATTTGCTGTACCACATTAGCTTAGCAAGATGAAATTCTGAAGACAAATACCAGATTACTAGAGGCTGGAAAAGCATCTACAGTGGTAGGAAAGACTAGGTGTAGAAAAGGAAAAGAATTATATAGACATTGTGGGACCCAGATTCTACAGAAAGACAAGAAGTGCTTGGATGTATGCTGTTGTGAATAACTCTAGAACATGTTACTTGAGGTCTCTAACCGTTGGCTACAATAATCACGCAGACTCCCAATCAGATAGTCCGCACCAACCCACACGGTCCAGTTGATGAATCAGCGTCTTTATGGACTGATGCCATGTCTTGGTTTGGTCACACTTGGATTTGTTCCAAACTACTTCTACACAAGATAACATCGTCCATCGAGGTTGGCACTGGTTGGTATTTATGTCTTACATATCCAACCACCTGACTTGATGAAGATTTACAACTTCATCAGTCGATTTGCTATCTTAACCTAGTATTTTATTCCTGACCTCACGATTGCTTACTCGGTGGTCTTAAAATGCACTAGTGATACTTGGAAGGAACCATTGACTAAATACCAGTACTCCGCGAATATCTATTCTGAATAGTCATGTTGGTAAGACTATAATCTATGGGTGACCTTTGATCAACCCTAAAATGACCTTGAGAATGTCCAACTACTAACTAGGAATAAATGAGTGTGAGAAATTAGAACTATGATTTACAGTTAATGGTTAGGGTTATGAATCAGATTTAAGGTTTTCATCAAAAACTGACATCGGTTAAAATGCCAAAACTCTATTTATCCAAATGGCTGAATGAATTTCACGCCAAAATTCAAGACCTACCGATGAAAGTATACGTTTTTACAGTTCATTATTTATTTGGAACTTTCAAATCATAGTTGATGGACTCATAAATTGTACACACTCTCAACTCCATACAAGATTAAACTGAGGACCTCCAGGTCTCATTACACAAGCTCTTTATGTGTAGGTTGCTAAGTTGAAAATTGATTTTCTACATTATCCTTATTGCAATGCTTAAATCATGTTTCTATTATGTTGTCTTTGTGTACATATTGAATCTAGATTACAAGATCTTCATGAAAGCTGTGGATTAAATTCAAATATTTGGTTAAATGATAGTCGTTGTCGTCTAATGGATTATACTACTACTACTAATAATAATAATAATACTATTACTACTAATTCAACAGTAACAACACCAACACAACCAGTTAATTTAAATGAATCACGATTGAAATTAAATAGAAAACGTGAATACCCTTTAAAAGATGATGATCTTGACAAGTACTTGTTTAAGTAAGTTTATTTATTTTATAATCTTTTCGTGTATTCTGGCACTTTCCTTATCTTTCTGTTCTACTTTACGGCTGCGAAACTTGGCCATTAAGAGTGAAAGATACTCATAAGCTACTAGTATTTGATTATATATGTCTTAGAAATATTGTTCGTTTGTGTTGGGATTAGTGGGTAAGTAATAGTGAGGTTAGACACAGGGCATTAGGGAATGATGGTAAAACAGTTGATGAGGTTATGAATCTTCATCAACTGATATGTTTGGGCCACTTGTTACATATGCCTGAACACCGATTACCACGACTCTTAATGCTGACTAGTATTGGAGACCGTTGAAAGTTAGAAGTGGCCAAACCAAAACCTGACATCAGTGTTTGAAGTTAATAACTTCTGGTCTGAGCCATGTTGGTAGATGCAGACTACTTGGTCGGGGTCCTCATGACTATCGTAACCAATTGTTGGATATTCCGGGTGACATGACTGAGAATTGGACACAATGGCCTAGGTGTATACACTCTCTGTATTCCCTTAAACCGGGAGATTAAAATTACTTTATACCTTTGTTCCTCCTAAATAATTCTTTCTACCTATATCATCTTGTTCTGCTAATAAGGTGTGGTAACTTGGACTTATGCATATATGTGCCTGGTTCTACGCTGTGATTGATTGACTTTCCTTATCAACTTTTGTATAAAACATCTATGTGAACTCAGATTATAAGAAACTTATTTTACAAAATTTAGAGTATGGTATCTATTTCATCTCTTATTCTATTGTTGCTTAAAATTTTTGATTGTTCATACCAATGAATTGCCTTGTTTCAAATTTCTATGCAACAGATATGTTGGCATACATTCTCCTAAATCCACTTTATTTGTAATCATTCAAACAGCGAAGTGGTGGTCTTAAGACACTAAAGACACTACATCTTACCTTTTCAGAAACTTAACTGATCAATATTTGTCTTGTTTTTGATGTCGTCTTTGCAGGTTTCATGACACTAACTGTGACTATTGATTTCTGTGTTTTTAGTTTTAGTAATTCATCCCCATCTTTCATGGTATCTTTATCAGTCATTACCTTTATACAAATTACGCAACAAATTAGTGAACTTTTTCTCAACGTCCAGATATTATCATCAGTTGACATGGCTGGGATACGTATTACGTATGCCCAATCACTGACTGCCTCGACGTGCCATGTTTTATGGTGTAGAAGTAGGTTGGAAGAAAGTTAGGAGCTGCCAGACTAAAACGTGGCACAAATCCATAAAGTCATTGAAAAGTGGACTGAGCCATGTTGGTAAATGTAGACTACGTGGTTGTTATCCGCGAGATGATAACAATCGATGATTGGAGACGTTGAATGACATGGCTCAAAATCGTTTGCAATGGCGAAGGTGCATCCACTCTTTGTGTTCTCCTAAATTCTAATCTTCTGAATTCTTCATGTCCCTTTCTTTTTTCTCTTTCCAAATTTATTTCATTGGATTATACTGCTTCAATAACATCTTCAAAGCCTAATCTTTCACATTACTGCTTAAACTCTTACTACTTCTACCACTATGGGATTTGAATCGACAACTACATCTCTGTGCTAATGTGGTATGGCAACTCGAATTGATGTACGTACGTACGAAGTTCTACGTTGTAACTGACTGAGATATTATCATCAAAATCCTGAATACACAGCTTTGTTTATATCAGTGGTCGCATGAGTGATAAAAATGGAGGATTTTTCTATTGAATTTCTGAATGGATCTTTTATACACATAATTAAATGTATAGCAATACATGCTCACAGCCTTTTTAGGTCTTTGTATTCGAAAAAATATTCTTATTTAAACGTTGATAAGCAAAGATGGATAGTGGCTAACAGTGGAATCCATGACGCGTGTTTCGTCCTGTTTGGGACTCGTCAGCTGGATGTACCTGCATCTAAGACTTGTTGATGTTCACTCTGGGTCTCGAACCCAATACTTTCCGCTTCAATACGCACAGTATGCACATATGGCAAATAAAAGACTGACCAGTTGCAGTTCTAAGCATCAATGGGAAGATACAAACAAACAATACTAAATGGATTTAAACTTTGATAGTTTAAATATTTTATCTTTTAGTTATGACTTATTTGGAATGTTAAAATCTATACTTACTAAGCTACTACTCCCTCTGTCATCATTCCATCAATTTTTATGTCTTATCATTATTTGTACAACCCATATTGAAGTGGCTAGAACATACATCACGTATTCTCAATCATTATTTCTATCTCAACGCATGAAATCTTGCTGCATTCTAATAGTAGGTTGAGAAAAAGTAAGATTTAATCAAATCAATACACGGCAACAGTCAATAAAGTCATTAAGTGTTGGACATTAACACCGTTGAATACCGGCTTAGTGGTCTAGAGGTTAAGTGCTCGCGCGCGAGACTGCTAGGTCCTGGGTTTGAATCTCGCAAGGCAGGATCTTGGATACACACTGCTTATGCGTCCTACAATCGGATGAAACGGCCGTTCAGTGCTTCCAGGTTTTCGATGGTGGTCTAGCTTCAATTGACTCATGACATTATTTTTCTTGTAATCTGTAATGTATGTATCATTATTATTATTATTATTATCATCATCATCATCGAAATTATCTTCATTCTTTATTCTATCATTTTAATCTATTCTAGATGCATCTATACACCACCAACTTGTAGACGTAAACAAAGTCAATCAAATACAATAACCAATCGTTTAATTCCATCATCTAATTCATTATTCAACAATTCAATATCAAGTAGTCCATTTAATCAAAAACCAATTTCTATATTAAAGGTTAGTTATAATTACCTCATCTTCGTAGTTAACTGTTGTCTGTCGTTAATGGGTGTCCTTGACCAAGATTATTGACAAAAGAAAAAGTTAACTTCAAACTTTTAACCGTTGGAGATGCTTGATTCTCAGAAATCACTTGATAAATGTTTCATTTCGGAAATTTGAATTCCTCATTTCCGCTCCAAAAGCATACAGTTTCACCTTCAGATTGTATTTTCTCACTTAAGAGGACCCCTTAATGTCATTGATTCCTTTCCTCTTTCAATAACTCTATTTTTTGACGTTTTCGAAGGATATTTTTATATTGTATATATACGCTTAAGTTGTATGCTTGTTCGTTCGCGTTTCTGACTGCTTGTGGAATATACTTTCCCCTCCTCTGAATCTGGTCTCCTCTCTCTCGTTAGCAAGGTTGGGACTCAGTGGTATAATTTAGCATATCCTATTTTTGTGTTGCTAACATTAGTTCCGTTTGTCAGTTTAGGTGATATCTTAATCTCTTCAAACGTAGTACTAACACACCACCTTTAATCCAATAGATTTTTAGTATCAGCGATAAAATTCAATAACTACAGTCTTAATATGAGAAACACTACTCATATAAAGATCCTGAATTATAGTCCCCAACTAGTTCTCTCTTTAGTTTTTCATTTTTACTGTTATATAATAATAAACATGGCCATTAAGAGTAGGAGATACTCGTAAGGTACTAGTATTTGATCACTAATGTCTTAGAAATATTGTCAGCATCTGCTGGGATCACCGGGTAAGTAATAGTGAGGTTATACACAGGGTATTAGGGAACGATGGTAAATCAGTTGATGGGTTGTGAATCTTAATCGACTGAGATGGTTAGGCCACGTGTTACATATGCCTGAACACCGATTACCACGACCCTCTATGCTAACTAGTATTGGCAATGGTTGGAAGAGAGTTAGGGACGGCCAAACCAAAACGTGGCATCAGTCCTTGAAGTCACTAACTTCTAGTCTGAGCCATATTGGTAAGTGCAGACTACTTGGTTGGGGTCCGTGTGACTATCGTAACCAATGGTTGGAGACTCTAGGTGACATGGCTCAGAATCGATCACAATGGCGTAGTTGTACATACTCTTTATCTTCACTTAAACCATGAGATTAAAATTGCTTCATATCTGTCCTCCTTCCTATACTATATCCTTATATACAACCTAACTTTTATATAACACCACCACCACTAAATTAACTACTTCTATGAATCCGGTGTTCATCTTGTTGTGCTAACGAAGTATGGCAACTTAGACCGATGCATAGCTGTGCCTGGTCCTACGTTGTAGCTGACTGAGTGACTGTTATATAGTGATAATCCAGATCTCTCTAAAATATGAAGGATTTCTTTCTAATAGATTATTATTACTTGGCAATTGTATTAATCTTTCATAATAGAAACTATCCGATCCTTTATAGCTTCAAATTAATTTTCCTGGCAATTTCAATGGAACAAAAAAACAAACAAATCTTTATTATTATACTGATTGTTTACATTAGTTTTTATTATTGAATCTTTTATAAATTGTGTCTCTGAATGCCCTGTTTATGTATGGCGTGGCGATACCACCAATTGGAGAGCAGCGATTTATTGGTCGGACCAGTGACACACGAAACCCGTATGAACAGTCTAGAGTACTTGTCTGTCCTGCCATCTGCCTATCCCAACCAGTGAAGTCCAGAACACTAATAACAGCCTCTGCAATATGAATCACTTGTTTCAAGCAAACTGAATTTATATATCAACCAGATTGACCACATTATACCATAAAATAGAAAATAACATCTGTACAAGATTTAGCCAAGTGTGGCTGTGAATAGGCGGGGGCATTAATTAATGAACTAGGGATAACTCAAGAATGGTAAATCGTATAATAATAGTCTATAGGTCAAAATAAATCTTATAGTAAGAGGAATATGAATAACAATTGGAAATATACGCATCATATTGGTCCATAAATAGTTCTCAAAAGTTACTATTCATAAATCTCCACGGGATATAACAGAATCATTACACTTACTTACTTACGCCTGTTACTCCCAATGGATCATAGGCCACCGACCTCTGGTTAGCGTTTTTGTTTTAGCGAGTTGGTTTTCTATGGGATGGATGGGTTCGCTAACCTCATGCCTAATCCTCCTCCTTTATACGGGCTTGGGATTGGCAGTAGCCTCCGGAGGAGCTACAGGCGGAATCACTATACAGTTCATTTTAATTCTATATTATTCTGCTTAGATGATCATTTGATAAATTGGATTCGATAGAAATCGATCAGTACTTAAGGGGATTATGAAACAATTGATGCAATTTTTCTATATTGTATGATAATTTGATCATTTAAACACTCATTCATTCTTAATAGCACCCATTTACCATTAGATCATTGTTTTCTTGTTCTTCTTGTTGTTGTTCGTATGTTTAGACTAAAATCTGTTCATCGAATAAAGAAATTTCCGCTTCAACAATAGCTGATTCTATGAAGACGACGATTACAACAACAACAGCAGCAGCAATGATCGTTTCATCATCGTCATCTTCATTATTCTCCACTTCTTTGAATCCTATCATATCATCTTCTACATCAATATCATCTTTACCATATTCAACATTGACAACGAATGTTGTAACAAGTTGTAGTAATATAAAGGATTCATCATATCTAATGAAAGAAAATAATCTATTAAAAAATGAATTAAATATGAATAAAAATACTACTCATGAAGAAATCAATAGTAATATGTATGATAATAATGATAATGATGATTGTAATGTTGATGAGAATGATGATTGTGATGTCACTTTAAATTTATCAACTGTTCGTCCAAGTAAGTACAAGTTGATGAAGGAATAAGTTAAAAGAACAAAAAAAGAGAAAGAATGGAACAGTGTTATAATCATCATCTTTCTTTAAATCTTGAGTTTCAGTTATTCATACATACCTTATCCATATTCCTTCTCAAACTGTATTCTTCGTATTTATTTGTCCGCATTATTATTGACATTACTTACTCATTGCATTCTCTCTATGGGGGTGTTGTTTACGAAATATAGAGGTCGAAAAGCAGATATCCGGTGCTCTAACAGGATTGATTCATATAGAGAATTCACTTAGGGGAGTTGAAGAACCCTGATTCCAAATCAATGGTGCATATGGGCTCCAGTATCCTAAGAGAACAAATGGCGTATGTACCTATTATTCGTCTCCAGCTACCATGAGACTGTATCTCCCTACGTTATTCCATTGCCTTATGGATTAAACCTTTAGATTAAAGTCTCAGAGAGTGGTCGTCTAAGAAAACTATACACTTTGATTTGGGCACCTGTGCACTATTCCAGTCCCCATACAAATCGAATAATGAAGTGTGGTACATATATATCTGATCCCTCCTTGTACCAATGTATGTGTTTATATAAGTAGTAAATAAGATGAATTAAACGGGAAGTCTAATTCAAATACCAATCTTTTATGAAAATGTTTAAAGTGTACCATTTATTTATTTATTTAAACACATAAATATTGGTACAAGGGAGCACCAGATACATATGCGCCATACAAATCAAATGAGATTTGCTTGAGGGCTATGATACTGCCCAGGTGCCCGAACTGAAGCAGGTGGTTTTCTTAGGGGCCCACACCCAGAGCCTTTGACCTACAGAACCAATCCACAAGACATTGGAGCATCGTGAGGAGATGCAGTCCCATGGTAGCCGGTGATCAACGATTGATTCGTACGCCATTTGTTCCCTCAGGATACTGGAGCCAGCCCATGTGCACCATTGGTTTGGAATGAGGGTTTTCCAACTCCCCTAGGTGGATTCACCTTGTCCACCAACCCGGTTAAAGCGCCGGACATTCGCTTTTCGTCCTCTCACTTTCGTAAACAACACCCCCGCCACAAGAAGGCAGTGAGTAGGATTTCCCTGGTAGAGGCTATATATTCGCTGGCCATGTGAGAGCATTTCGAAAGGGAGAGCGAACTCTCCCTATTCTCGGCCGTACCAGGGCATTTTGGGGCACACATTGAAAATAACATGGAGTGAAAACAAACAAACAAAAAAACAATCTACTTCTTCTGGTAAAGATTACATAACATTGTGTTCAAATCACCTTGTACTTCTATGTAAAATGTTAGGTAGTGTAGGAACAAGTTTGCATATAATCAATCTTTTCAATTCATATTGTTGTGAACAGAACACGACTGGGGACAATCGAATGTATTTAAGCAAAGATTACAGACTATCTCAGTAAATTCTGATTACCAAAGAATGAACAGTCAATTTGCAAATTAACAATCAATTGTTTCAATCTTCACTGTTTCTTCAATAATTCCATTGTTCATGCATTTTCCAAACGATTGCGCTTCATTTCAGTTCTTTCCTCATCGGTCTTCTGCCAAAATACATTCTATGCCTGATCCACACCATATACTACTTATATAAATATAAGTAGACCACACCACAATATTCTTCAATACCAAATATTATATTTTTTTTCTTATTACTGACGATACTACTACTTGTTCAACTATGATATTCATCTTGTTAATTTTATTATTGCACTTGTGATGTGATGTTGTGGAACTAATGTATCATGATCCCTAAATGCCCTGGTACGCCTAAGAGTGGGGAGGGCCTGCTCTCTCTCTCTCTCTCTAAATGCTCTCACACGGCCACGCGTATACAGTCTCTGCCAGAGAAGTCCTACTCACTGCCTTCCCGTGACATTACTGTTGTTTACCAAATTGAGAGGACGAAAAGCGAATGTCCAGCGCTTTAACCAGGTTGGTGGACATGGAGGGTCCACCTAGGGGAGTTGGAAAACCATGATTCCAAACCAATGGTGCACATGGGCTGACTCAGGGATCTTAAGGGAAGAAATGGCGTATGAATCAATCATTGTTCACCGCCTTCCATGAGACTGCATCTCCTCACGATGCTCCATTGTCTTGTTGATTAGATCTTTAGGTCCAAGGCTCCGGATCTGGCCCCTTAATATAACCAACTGCTTCGGTCTGGATATCCGGGCAGTATCATAGCCCTTACACACAGTTAAAATGAAATGACATTTTTTTGTGTGGCGCATATCTATCTGGTACCCTCTTGTACCAAGGTTTATGTATTCAAATAAAAATAATAAAAATTTCAACTCATTTTTCATCTAATGATTATCCAAATTTCTTCTCTACTATAGGTATTGTTAATATGGAGAAATTTCAACATAATAAATTATTACAGGATAATGTAAATAATAAATGTAATGAATTTACTTTCTCTGCTCCTCGTCGTATCTCTTTAACATCATCCAATACAGTAAGATTCTTTTTTTTTTGGTTTTTGTTTTGTTGCCATGTGCCCCTTTTTTATTGTAATACTGAATGCTAAATTTTTTTTAAATTTTGTAGTCACCATAGTTTATAGTCATGAGTTGAAGTTCCATACTATAAAGGCAAATAGTTATACAATTCTTCATCATTTTCAATATAAATATAACTAATAATTCTCTCAGAAGGGGTTTTGATGAATCCCATAATAGGACGAAATGGCCATCCAATGCTTCCAGGTTTTCCATGGTGGTCTGTCTAACTTCAATTGACTCATGATTTCAACTATGAAAATAATAATTCTTTCTCTATTGTAAAAACTGATATAAATTCGTAGGTAAGGTTGTGAATCTTCACCGATTGAAATGGTTAGGCCATGTTCAATGCTGACTAGTGTTGGGAATAATTGGAAAAACACGTTATGAGCGGCCAAATTAAATGGACGGTCAGCTTGAGTATTTGAGCTATCTGTTTCTGGCATCGAGATATTTCAATAAGTTATCTGTCTTTTGTTTGTTTCAATAAATCATTATATCAATTTTAATTGCATAATCTATTCAGGTGCGTTTTTAAAAAGTTCACCACCTTTCGTTGTACAAGTTAGGAAACAGCACAATCAGCGACATTGTGGTTGCTGGTAGTGTACTTCGAAAAGAGTGTACATTATTTAGATGTCGATTCCTGTACTGATAACTTGTAATGAGTTATCCTTCAATATTTATCGTCAAGGTTGATCAACAAATAAAAAACGAAAACTTGTTGAAATACTCCTCGTTGAGAATACAATATTGTGCCAAGAATATAACATTGAATAAAGTCACTAATAGTAATAATAATCTTTGTTCGTTTATTCATTGTTACTTACTTACGCCTGTTACTCCCAATGGAGCACAGGCCGCCGACCAGCATTCTCCAACCCACTCTGTCCTGGGCCTTCCTTTCTAGTTCTATCCAATTGTTGTTCATTCTTCTCATGTCTGTCTCCATTTCTCGGCTTAATGTGTTTTTTGGTCTTCCTCTTCTCATTTGGCGCTGGCGATTCCATGTGAGGGCTTATCTTGTAACGCAATCGGGTGATTTCCTCAAAGTGTGCCCCATCCACTTCCAGCGCTTCTTCCTCTGCTGGAATCTGGTTTGTTGTCTCCCACAGTAACTTGTTGCTGATAGTGTCTGGCCAACGGATCCGAAGTATCTTGCGTACACAACTGTTAATAAACACTTGTATTTTCTGGATGATGGCTTTCGTAGTTATCCACGTCTTCGCCCCACACAGTAGAACTGTCTCGACATTATTGAAAATTCATTGTATAGATGATGTATTTTACTTATAGGAGAGTGTTAACAAAATAATACCATTTAGATGACTAGAGTTTCTAATGTGAAATCATTTAGTATATTGATTGTTACAATTTTAGTGGTAATTACAAACTAGTTATCTCTCGGTATCATTAATCTTATTATTACTATTGCCCTCAAATGCCCTGGTACGGTCGAGAGTAAGGAGAGTCCACTCTCCATCTCCAAATACTCTCATATGGCCACGCGTATATAGCCTCTACCAGGGAAGTCCTACTCACTGCCTTCTCGTGGCATTACTGTTGTTTACCAAATTGAGAAGACGAAAAGCGAATATCCGGCCCCTTAACCGGGATGGTAGACACGGAAAGTTCCCCTAAAGGAGTTGGAAAACCTTCATTCCAAACCAATGGTGCACATGGCCTGGCTCCAGAATCGTGAAGGAACAAATGGCGTATGAATCAATCGTTGGTCACCCTTACTTTGGGACTGCATCTCCTTACGATGCTTCACTGTCTTGTGGATTAGATCTTTAGGTCGAAGGCTCGGGGTGTGGTCCCCTAAGAAAACCACCTGCTCCGGTCTAAGCATCTGAGCAGTATCACAACCCTCACACAAATCAAATGAGATTACAGTTCAGTTATTCTTTCTGTTGATTTATAAACTACTCAAATCGGTCAATAATAGTAATACATTGATATGACATACACACACACACACACACGAAAAGGGTTATCATCAATTTGTTTCTTTTTTTTTGAATTCTATTCTAACAATTTTGTTTGTCTGTTTGTTCTTTTTCTCTCTTTAAAATAGACAATCATTAATAAATCTATGGAAAAGAATGAATTTCTATTTTCAGCACCATTAGTAAATAAGTCGGCTATTAAACCAAATCAATCCATAGAGAATGATATTGATAAAGTTACAGTATTGCCAATCTCAATAAATGAATCAAATCAATGCTCTTATACTACTATTAACAATAATAATGATAATTCCTATGGAAATACTTCAAATTCTGATCAATTGATGAACACATCTAAAACGTAAGATATCTTGTTTGTTTTAATGATAATGATTAGAGTTATACATACATAGATACAAATATACCTACCCTGTGAGCAAATATACGTTATATGCACACTGGTAACACGCAGGTTTTATCTCATAGCATATATATATATATATATTTGTATTCATACACTTGGGAGGGTAGATGTTCAGTAATCCCTCAGAAACGTATTTGCTACAACACTACATGCCTATCGTCCAGTATAGGATTACTTCCCCAGTATTTCCTAACATCACACACAAGCATTTTGTCAGGGGAGGTTATTGGTTGTCTCTTCGTAGTATTTGCTACTATATGTTTTGAGTATGTTTTCGACCTGATAGATTAGGCCGCTGATTTTATCAGACGTAGAACGTTCCTTTTGTACGACACAACACGCACACCCTTTACATATACCTAGATACATAAACTAAAAAGACTCGAGAACTTCTGCAATTCTCATGCACAAGCATACACATCAGGTAACCCGATCAGGTTTATTGAGCCTCGAGTTGGAACTTGAGTTAACCGAGGATACAGTAGAATGGGTGATCAGTCCGATCTCCATAGACCGTTTAAGTTAGCTACCAAGGTTGCCTATAGTATTCAACAGCGCTGCGAGGAGGCCTTAGGTCGGATTTCACTGTCACAGTAAATAGTAGAGTGTATTTGTTTTTAAATTTTAACTCTATATATCGTCTGTACTGATCATAAGAAGTGAAGTAGTTGAGAATGTTGGTCACTTCACTTATCTCTTGGAAGTCTCATTATCCTTTTATGAGGTTGGTGATTGGTAAAAGCTTAGCAAAGCCTCAGAAAGGTAGCTTAACTTTTGCAAACGAAAACAACTTGTTTGGGTAAACGAAATCTCTCTTTAACAACAAACGGAAAGGTATGACAATTGATTGATCACTGGGTGGTGATCAATCTCATGCATGTCAGGTCCTTCTTAGTGCTGATCGAATGCTATCGATCGAATTGCAATGTGGCCACCAGTCTAGGTGGCTCGACACTGCTTGCACTATATATACTGAGGTAAGGTGGTGGTTGGAAAGGTATGCTGTACAACAGTTCACTTTTTGTTATTCTACAACTATGAAAGTGTAAACCTTTTTTAAGTTTCAGGTATTTTGATCATACATATATCATGAAACGATCAAATAAACTATTCTCGGATTAAACAGTTTGAGCAACTCTAACGGCTACATAATTTAATCCATCAGTTAATAACTTCAAAGCACTGGTACAGCCAAGAGTGCTCTTACTTGGCTAAGCGTATACACACACTACTACGAAAGTCCTACTCAATGCCTTCTTGCGACGGGGCTGTTGTTTGCGAAATTGAGAGGAAGAAAAGTCAATGTCTGATGCTTTAATCCGACTGTTGGACACTGAAGATCCACCTAAGGGAATTGGAAAACTCTGATTCACAACTAATGGTGCACATTGGCTCCAGGATCGTGAGGGAAAAAATGGTGTATGAATCAATCGTTCGTCACCAGTTACTGTGGGACTGCGTCTCCTTACTTTGATCAACTGCCTTGTGCACGAGACCTTTAGGTCGAAGGCTCCGGTTGTGGCTCCCCAAGAAAACCACCTGTTTCGTTTTGAGCACCCATATAGTATCCCAGCACTCACACAAATTGATAGATTTATGTGGCGTATATGTATCTGGTGCTCTTTTGTACCAATATTTATGTGTTCAGATAAATAAATAAAACCATGGACTAATACCACAGTTTGATTTATTCACTCCTATTCGAACCCTTTCTCCTTTTCTTTGGAGCTTTTTTCTATTCGACCAATGTCTATTAAAATGATGCTTTATTGAGTTTTACACTGTAAAACGTTTATAATTATTTTGATGTGTTTGATTATCATTTTTACAGATATTTGATGAATCTTGACAATACAACTTCTCTAACCAACGCTCCAATTTTCACACCTCCAAAATTACAAAATCCAACGCTTATTTTAGACCAAATTCATACTAAAGAAACTATCCATGATCAGTTAACCAATAATGATATTGATAATAAAGAAGATATCACTCCAAGAATTGCGGTAAAATCACGAAAAAAACGTGATCACCAGCCTCATCATAAAACTTCTACTCATTCTTCACAATTAACAACAGAATCTATTTTTGATCATTTAAATCATCTTCATCAAGAACAAAATCATTATCCTATTTATCAATCAATTGATATGGATGATTTTGATGATACATCATCTGTAACAAGTTCTATGACTGATTCATCAGAAACTGTACGTCGATCAACTAGACGTGTTAGACCACCGAAACGTTATGATTCTTCAGCGGTTTAGTAATCATACTATGAATCTGTTTTTGAAATTTGTTTCGACAATTTTGTTTTTCTGTGAATCTTTGTAAAAAAAAAAAGGTGTCTTTGTGAAGTTTTGTTTGAACGGTTCAACTTTGAATATCTATACATATTGATTATTTGTGTTACCTATATATTTATGTAGTCCCTATGAATTGAAACATGTAAATGGGGTTAGAAGTGTACTGTGCATTTGTTGTACAGCGTTTTTTTTTGTTTGTTTTAAATAAAACAAATTCAGTCTTAGAAATTGTAAAATGGATTATTGTATGTTTAAACATATAAATATTGGTACAAGGGAGCACCAGATACATATGCGCCATACAAATCAAATGAGATTTGCTTGAGCGCTGTGATACTGCCCAGGTGCTCAAACTGAAGCAGGTGGTTTTCTTAAGGGGCTACACCCGGAACCTTCGACCTAACGGTCTGATCCACAGGGCAGTGGAGCATCATAAGGCGATGCATTCTCATGGTAGCCGTTGACCAACGATTGATTCATACGCCATTTGTTCCCTCAGGATACTGGAGCCAGCCCATGTGCACCATTGGTTTGGAATGAGGGTTTTCCAACTCACCTAGATGGTCTTTCCGTGCCCAACAACCAGGTTAAAACGCCAGGTCTTCTCAATTTACTAAATAATAGTGATGCCAGGAGAATGCAGTGAGTAAGACTTCCCTGACAGAGGCTATATACGCGTGGCCATATGAGATCATTTGGAGAGGGAGAGCTGTCTCTCCCCACTCTCGGCCGTACCAGGGCGTTTGGGGGCAAAATGGAGTATGTTATGACTTTATAAATAAAAAGGACGTATGCCAATTCGCTACGATTTTTATGTTCACTCTTTATTATGTGATTTATCCATCCACCGGAATACGACTTTTCCAATCTTAACACTGCCCAAATCAATGACGTTCAACTGGTATGAATAGTCTAGGATGCTTATTGGTTCTTTGTCCTCTTAGCCCTTCCAAATGAGTCCGGAACACCAATTACAGCTTCTGCTATACGAATGATTTATTTCAAGCATACTTGGTTTATATATCAGACAGACAGACCGCATCACACCATCAAATAGAAAATAATATTTGTACAAGATCAAGCCAAATGTGACTGTCAACGTGGGATAGAAAAATCAATAAACTGAATATAATTTAGGGACAGTAAATCGTATAATAAAAATCCATGGGTCAAAATGAAGCTTATGATAAGATGAATATAGATATACACAACCTAATTACTCAATAAGCATGGTAAGCAGAGATGGATAGTGGCTAGCGGTGGAATCCAGGACGCGCGTTTCGATCCCATCGCACAAACAAGTGGCTATCAGGACTCAGTGGCCGAGTGGATAACGCGATGGCGTTTGAAACGAAGGGTAATGGGTTCGAGTCCCAGAGTGAACATCAACTCTTAGATGCAGGTACATCCAGCTGACGAGTACCAAATAGGACGAAACGCGCGTCAAACTGGAATCCACTATCCATCTTTGTTTACCATGCTTGTGAATTTAGGCTATATCGAGGCAGTATACACATATGCCAATTAGAGACTGACCAGTTGCAGTCCAAAAACATCAACGGGAAGATTCAAACAATACTAAATTAATGTAATCACTGAATAGTTGTACAATAAGAATATATATAGGATAATCATCCACTAATAGGTCCCGGAAGTTACCCGTACTCATATTTTCGCTAGGATATAACAGATTTTAATGTTCGGATTGTTTCGTCTAATGTTGAATACTTGTTGATTTCATGAAAATCAGTATGCTTAATCATAGTGTTTTTTGTAGTGCTAGCTATGTTAATTGATATAAGAGTGAGTTGTAAGAAAGCTGGGGAGGGGAGAGAAAGACAAACTAATACATAGTATCAATTCCTGAAGTCGTTGACTATTAGTGTGAACCATTTTGGTGAATGAGAACTATCTGGTTATACGGTCAGCACGGTTATTGTGACTAATGGTTAAAGACTTTAAGTGATATGACTCAGTATTGGTCATAATGGTTTAGGTCCATCTGCTCTTCATTTTCCTCTTGATGCTAGTTTCTAGTGTTCCTACATGCATATCTTTCCATTCTGTCTTCACGAATCATACTGTCAATGTCTTTCCCACTAAATTATTCTTTTTCTACTCAATTTATTGTGTTGGTATGGTACGTTAGTTTGAATTCATGTAGATTTGTAAAAGCTTCTACTTTGATTATGATTTACACATGTTACTCTTTGTGGAGGAGCGTAGACCGCTCACCAGCATTCTCCACCTGTGGCTCTTCTAGGACTACTACTGGTCTCAAGCCCAAGGGAAAGGAGAAGGTCAGGCGTGGGGTCGGCAACCAATATCCCTCAGAAAAAAAGCTAACCAAAAGCTTTACGTAGTCGAAATTAATGTTATATTCAGGATTGATTATATTATATTACACTTGATTAAAACATATTTATATTGTTAGAAAAGGTCGACCCTAAAAATGCACACCTCGCCTTATCCCATGGATATTCGTCTCCGACGGTGAGGTCTCAACAAGTACGGAGCTAACACACAAATTACCCACAGAAAGGTCGTGTGTGACCGGCCTCAAACAGTTATCCCTTGGACACTGCGGTCGCGCTCTCAGGTTATTATGACCATTTCTAACCCGATTTCTTTTTCAGGTACCTCTAGAAGATGTTTTAACTTATTCGGTTCAGTTCTATGTCAGTACACCCGTTATAGCTTTCTCCACAGCATCAACTGAATTCTTAGATGTACATGAATGTAACAAGATTAGTTGACTTATCTCTTCATTGAGGAAATAATTAATAGAGGAAGTAGGAGTTCACTGCTTGAGTCGGTCTATCAAGTAGGAAATATTTTTGATGTTTAACTAAGAATTATGAATCTTGAGAGTACATAAGACACAGCGTCAATACTACGTAGTCATATTTACATCTTTATGTAAGTTGTATTGTCCGAATGCCCTAGTACGACAGAAAGTGAGGAAAGTCAGGTCTCCCTCCAGGGAAGTCCTACTCACTGCCTTCTCGTGGCATTACTGTTGTTTATGAAATTGAGAAAACGAAAAGCGAATATCCGTCGCTTAAACCGGGTTAGTGGACACGGTGATTCCACCTAGGGGAGTTGGAAAACCCTGATTCCAAACTAATGATGCACATGGACTGGCTCTAGGATCCTGAAGAAACAAATGGTGTATGAACCAATCATTGGTCACCAGCTATTATGGGACTGAATCTTCTAACGTTGCTCCACTACATTGTGGATCAAACCTGTAGGTTTATGTCATCCATTATGGTAAATACCGAATTAAGCTATTATAACTAATCAGAAAATAAACCATACCTAGTTCAGTTATTAATGAGAGGTCTGATATTCACAAAATATAATTATTATGTTGATATTTGAAACTCCACATATAATAATAATATATTCTAGTTGCCTAGGTTACTTATCATACTTTTAGTATCTTAAAATAAGAAATGAAGACAAAAATTGTATGTGTATGTAATTGTATGGCAACTATTTCTTCGGATTCATAATTCCATCCAATTGAGCCTAAAAATTAAAAAAAAAGATTGATCAAATAGGTAACACTTAAGTTATTTGAGAAATGTTTTTATCAAACAAGTGATATACAAAATATGATCCATACTGTATACAAGTCAAATAACAACAATTCTTGGATAGGAACATGTTAGTTATTTTCATAGTTGAAATCATGAGTCAATTGAAGCTAGACCACTATGGAAAACCTGGAAGCACTAGACAGCTGTTTTGTCCTATTATTGGACTCCTCAGAAGTGCCCATCCACGATCCCGAATTCGCGAGATTCGAGTCTAGGACCTACCAGTCTCGCGCCAGATCACCTAAACTCTAGACCACTGAGCCGGCACTGCTGAGGAGTCCTACAATGGGACGAAACGTCCGTTCAGTGCTTCCAGGTTTTCTATGGTGGTCTAGCTTCAATTGACTCATGATTTCAACTATGAAAAATACTGAAATCTCCACGAAAATCTCCTTATGATCTACAATCATAGGCTAACTAGTGACTGAATTTAAGGGTTGTTTCCTTGAGTTCTAGTGGGAAGCAGTTATCAGTGGGGTTCAACCAAATTATTTTTAACCATTATAACGTGACTAAATTAATTCATTATTTAAATCTTTGGAATCCAATTAATTAAGAGTGACCGTGGTGTGTGTTACTGTTTTTGATGGATATAATTAGCATGTATCACCAATCGAAAGTCAAATGTTTGGAGGTAAAAGGTTAAGAAGATCTAAGAGAACGAGAACAGAGAGTGCATGGAGTGGAAACGAAAGAACAGTCAAGTCTGAGACAAGTAATCGACATTTTCTAAATGAAGCATTACTGTATAGTCCTCAGATTTTACTGAGAGATTCTGTAACATTGTGTTCAAATACAGTTGGTTGTCCCCACTTGGGTTCTCGTTTACTAGATTACTACTATTCGATAAGCCCACAAATGCCTTGGTACGGCTGAGAGTGGGGAGAGTCAGCTCTCCCTCTCGAAATGATCCCATATAGCCACGCGTATGCAGCGTCTGTCAGGGGAGTCCCACTCACTGACTTCTCGTGGCATGGGTGTTGTTTACAAAATTGAGAGAACGAAAAGCGAATGTTCGGCGCTTTAACCGGTTTGGTGGACACGGCGAGTCCACCTAGGGGAGTTGTAAAACCCTCATTCCAAACCAATGGTGCACATGGGCTCCAGTATCCTGAATGAAAAAATGGTGTATGAACCTATTGTTGGTCACCGGCTTCCATGGGAATGCATCTCCTTACGATGCTCCACTGCCTTGTGGATCAGATCTTTAGGTCGAAGGCTCCAGGTGTGGTCCCTTAAGAAAACCACCTGCTTCGGTTTGAGCATCCAGGGAGTATCACAACTCTCACACAAATCAATTGAGATTTGCGTGGCGCATATGTATCTGGTTCCTTTTTGTACCAATATTTATGTGTTCAAATAAATAAGTAAATAATATATGAGGACAAGGAAGACTTAACAAATACGTGAGCTATCTTTTTAAATGTATATGAAATACATCATATTTCTTCCTATACTACTAACTACTAATTTGCATAGAGATGATGTTTGAATGAATTGAGTTAATTCAGTATCACAGATGAGAAGACTGACTATTACATCGCAGTAGTAAATACTGTAAGGAATATACCAAATTCCTTACTCATTTTTCTGGTAATCCACTAGTGAAATTTAAAACAATTGTTACTTAGATCAGAAGGGGTTTTGTGGAGAATTTAGTATTTTCATAGTTCAAATCATGAGTCAATTGAAGCTAGACTACCATGGAAAACCTGGAAGCACTGGACGGCCGTTTCGTCCTATTATGGGACTCCTCAGCAGTGCGCATTCACAATTCTGAACTCGCGAGATTCGAACCCAGGACCTACCATTCTCGAGCCAGAGCCCTTAACCGATAGACCACTGAGCCGGCATCCATACATACATTACATATACTATTAAATTTGATCAACTGACCTTTAGTTGCTGATTATTTCTCTTTAAAAACTGTATTTCATCTTGATGTTTCTTTTCTTCTAATTGTCTTTGTTCTGCTGCTCGTTTTTCAATCTGTTCACATTTTGTTTTTAACTCATATACTTGTCTTTCCAGATCTTTTTTCTCTTGTTCTAAATCACCAATCTATAATAATATGGATCTAAAGATTATCGATGACCACAAATTTTTTGTTATGAATTCCTAGGCATTTTCTTTACACATTGTTGAACAGAGAAAAACTTACAAATACTCTGTTTGTATTCTTCAAACATTATTTGACATTCAAGTTTATCAATGATTATCCTCATGAAGATTTCACTATTTAGTCAAGAATGTGGTATCAGTGTCGATTAAATGTTCATAGGATCTAATGACAAAGATCCAGAATGCTTTTTCACAGTACAAGATAGCAAGTGTTGTAATGCTATCCACACCATATTTAGAACTTCTGAAGTTGTGACATACTAGGAATACCTATTAATAAGTGACAGTGTGTAGTAAAGTAATGTAGAAAAGCTAAATGACAGTGTAGTCTAGTAGCTTAGTTCATGTAACAACTTGTGGTATCTGCCATGAATCATGGTCGACAGGTAAAGAAGACTAAATGATCTACCTTGGACTGCAAATGAACGAAACATGTTGTGAATACAAACATATTACTGACCACGGTATACTTATTCTAACTTCAAAATCATTTTTGTTTGATATACTTTCAGTGGATAAATGATTTGTTCGAAATAACTCATGTCTATCAAGTTCACTTGAAAAATAAACATTTTTCAGTAAAATATACCATTTAAAATACATATCAATAAGACTGGATTTGCATCATGTGGTTCTTTATTTAATCTGATTCTTTATGCTTTGAGACTCATATATTAAGTGGCCTGCATCAAAATGAAAATCCCATCATGAAATATTCGTTTAGCCACCAAACGTCAAGCTTCAGTGGGTTCGAATATTAAGATGAGTGTAAGTTCCTCAAATTATTCTCGGTGGGTGTTACCGGCAATACCCGATAGGAAAGGAGAAACTTCGTGACATTTTGGGTTTTTATAATAGTACCCATTGCATAATTACGTTTTAGAACTACTTGCTTATGTCTGTTTACGCTCGTGAAAGACCATTAGCCATCAACCAAGATTCTCCATCGAACTATGTCCTGGGCAATTATTTTCAATTGTTATTCATCCTTTTGATGTCGACTTCCAATTCTATACGCAGGGTGCTATTTGGCCTTCCTTTTATCTGTTTCCCTTCAGGATTCCAAGGTATTGCTTGCTTCATGGTGCGATTTGGTGTTTCCCGCGATGTATATCCTGTTTACCTCCGTCATCTTTTTCTAATTTCCTCATCAGGTGGAAGCTGGTTAATTATCTCCCACAATAGGATGTTGCTGATAGTATCCTACCATCGGATACTGAATACTTTGCGTAAATGGCTGTTCATAGATACTTATACTTTTTGATGATGGTCGTGGTAGTTCTTCAAGCTTCAGCTCTATACAGTAGAACTATCTTGATGTTTGTAAGCTAGGTTTTTTGTTGTTATATCTATTCTTAAAACTACGATTTTTTTTGTCGTAAGTCGATTTAATGTGAAAAGAGACGTAAATACCTCTTTCAGTCAGACTGAACAACATAGGACTCGGAATATATGTTGATCGATTTAAGCTGCTACACCACTTTAATACTCATCCTAAATTACAGAAGGCATAAAATTTACGTAAGTTTGCGAAATCTACAGTGACATTGGGTATCAGTCTTGCCATAAACACGTCAACGAAAACACCAAGTGTTCCAATGAAAACTTTGAGTGGTTTGTGTTCCTGAGTATTTAAAGAAACTAAAGATGCAACCTACGGTATTTTCTCATGTCTTCTGATAGTGTTCTACCAAATAATCAGTTGTGGACTATGAAAATAAGATACCCTTGTTTGTAGCTGAAAATATGATTCAACGCGCAGTTTTACGAAATACTTAATTTGTTATGATACTATAAACAAAACTAAAATATATAATTAAAATACTAGCTTGTTATTTCCTAATTAATCAGCTAACAAATCCCTGATATCCGGTATTAAGTTTATTCATGAAATGACCAAACTGGTGAGGGTTTGACTGAATTCATTTAACCACGAATATATGAAAGGTTAACCACTATTTTGATACAAACTTGTTTTAACCAAGAAATACTATATTTAAAAATATATGGAAGTAGTAATATAAACATATCTTACCATTCGTTCCATATCTGCCTTCCCTTGTTCAGATTGAAGAGCTTTACGCATACCAAATGCTACGCTTGATTCATAAAGAGTCTGGTATGCAGCTATTGTCATTCTTATCTCGTCGCGGACGCGAAGGAGAAGCAAACCGCGTTCGGCACAGTTAATGGTCACTTGCCTTATTAGTTCGTCAAATACCTGAGAAATATTACATCTCAAAAAGCCTTTTTGTTACTTGATTGTATAGTTCTCTGCGAACTGGGCATATCCCAGTCTCTCTAGCTTGACGCTGTTGCAATCGTCTATCGAGCTCTTCCTGCAAATTAATGACGTCAAGTCGTGTTGCTGGTGTGCTGGAAGCACGCTGTATCCATAGCTGACCGTTTTCACTCCACTCTCTAGACAATGTGATGAATAATTTGGAGATCTACCTAGGCGGAAGAATCGAATTTAATATTTCTTCTGTTTGTTGGTTGCTTTTAGATTCACTTAAACATGCCTTTCCTCTGGGTGACACACAAGGTAAGTTTGAGGAGTCTGTAATCGTCTGAGTTCCCTTCAACGTAGCTGCCTAAAAAGTGTCTAAAATGTTTCTATTTTTAAGCTACCCCGGGGGATTTTTTATCTAAATTTTTGGTAATAAGTAATGGATTGTCGTATTTTATCAAAGAAACATTCAGTGGCATCATCTTCTTAGTTTTTTTAGTCTATTCGCAATGTACTTTGTGTGACAATGAAACGTGCAGAAATTTGTGTGGAGAAAGCTGTAATATATAAAAAAAGTGGAAGAGTTAGTTGATAACTTAAATGGTTCAAATTTTTGTGGACGGAATAGAAGAAGCTTTCGCCTTACGGGCTTCCGTGTCTAGTAGCAGTGGATCATCAATACCTCCAGGCAAGAACCTAGGTATATTAACGATAATAGAGGGAAAAAAGAAATTGGAAAATAATAATAATATATTATCTTTAGTCCTTAAGAATAGGTCTTCAGTCTTCTGTAATAAGGATAGGAGGCCTGGTGACCTATTTTAATCCTTGCAGTTTGTTACACTGAGAAGGTCCAATCTCGTCTTGAATATATCAACAGAAGGTGCTGATATTACGTGTTCTGGTAGAGAATTCCAGTAATTCACTACTCGGTGCGAGAAACGAAACTCCAGACGTAGACGATTTGATCTGGGTTTTTGGACTTTCTTTGAATGTCCTCTCAAATGCTCAGCCCTAGACGGGAGTAAAAGATAGAACATGTTAGTACCAAGGTCATCGTTCAGGATACGATATGCCAATATTAGATCACCCCGTATTCGCCGGTAAGATAACGGAAATAAGTTGAGGTGTCTCAGTCTGTCTTCATAAGATAGGCTAGATAAGCCTTTTACCATTTTTGTCCCGCGACGTTGGACTCGTTCCAACATATCCGCCTCATATTTGAAACAAGGACTCGCTGCTTGAATCCCATATTCCAAATGTGGCCGTACGAAAGTTGGGTATAATAATCTAAACATTTCCCCATCCAGATACCGGAAAGATCTACGAATAGACCATAATGCCCTATGGCCTTTTGCAGCAGCAGCCTTACAGTGACTGGTTGTTTTGAGATCATTACTTAGTATGACTCCTAAATCTTTATAGTTTCTTACTTTGGGCAACACTAGTCCACATATTGTGTAGTGATACGAATCATAGTAGTTATTTAATTGCATCACAACACTTTTATTAGGGTTTACTTCTAGTGACCACCCATTCATCCATGCAACTAGTGAGTTAAGATCTTCCTGTAAAACTATTCTGTCTGACATACTATATATGGGTCTCCAAATCTTAATGTCATTGGCGAATAGTAGGACGGATGACTTAGCTATAGCTGGTAATTCATTTATATAAAGTAAAAAGAGAAAAGGACCTAAAATCGTGCCTCGGGGGACGCCACTTTTTACTGGTTCCCACGATGATAGAGCCCCATTTACTCTTACCCGTTGTCTCCTTTCATGAAGAAAGTCACTTAGCCAGTCTATGACTGCATAATGAATTCCAAAACTTTCTAGTTTCAATTTAAGACCAGAATGGGAAACCTTATCAAAGGCTTTACTTAGATCTATGAAAATGACATCTACAGGAATATTGCGATCTTTTGCCTCAGCCCAATCTTCTCTTGCAATGAGAAGATTTGTCAAACATGATAGACCTTTTCGAAAACCATGTTGTTCCTTTGACAAAAGATCATGTCTTTCCACGTAGTTTATAACAGCCATCCTAATAATTTTTTCCATGAGTTTTACAACTGCACTAGTTAAGCTGACGGCCCGATAGTTACTAACTAAATCCCTACCCCCAGTCTTATACACCGGATTGATTATTGCGTCCTTCCAGTCTCTGGGCAATCTGGACTGCCGTAGGGACATATCGAACAGCATCGCTAAGGGACTTACATTTAAAAACAGAGATATATGTGGCAATCACCAATATGACTTAAATAAAATTAAGGCAACTTCTTCATAATTAAATGTGCTAACAAAAATGCGACGAAAGCGTACTAATTTATATTTGTGTCTAACGTGGAGTTATGGAGACAATACATTCGAGAGGTTAAAACAATAACAATATTTGGTTGGTGGACCTGTGTCAAACCTGAAAGCTTGTCTTCCAGCGAACGTAATGCAGTACACTGACAAAATGAAGCTACTTATTAACACAGCAGAAAGCAGTATGTATGTATTGGAGAAACAACAACAAATAGCATTGTGATTGTAATGGACAAATATTTTTGAGTAAACAATGAACTGATGTGCCTTTTGAAATAGTAGGTAAGAAAAAGTAAATTTTGGTAGTAATAATAAGGTCAATGCATTAAAATAGTTTACGTATAATGAAACAAATCGGAAACCAGTTAGAACGCAAATAATTGCTACCTAAAACAATAGTTGTTGAACCAATGCAGAATACCACAAATAACTTCATTACACTAAAAGCCGTTTACTGAGAGGTTGGTGGCCACTTCGGATGCGAAAGCATTCCAAATGGGGCAACTACTAGTAATAAAAAGCGAGAGCATATCTCGGTGTTCGCCCTTTGATGTGCAATCTTCCGAGGGTTACCTCAAGAGGCTCGGTAACATGCTCGTGTTAGGGTGACCTGGCGTACTTAACCGCTACATGTCATCAACAGATCATCCCTTATCCTCCTGTTCTTGAAAGATAATATTCTCAGATGTTGAAGTCTATCCTCTTGAGATTGTTAAATTAGACTGATCACACCCTTGGTTGCCCGCCTCTGTACTTGGTATAGGAAATTTGTATCCTTTTGAAGAGAGGAGCCGTAATGATATTGTGGACCTCAAGATCGGCCCATATGTAAGTTTTGAAAAGGGTTGAAAACATTCTTTAGGTAACTGTGTCAAGTTTTTTCGTATAAAGGGAATAGTTACATTTGCCTATGATGCATCTCCCATACAGTTTGAGCTGGTGTTTAAGCTCCTTATGGTTACAAGCTCGATAATAGATTCTTAGGAGACTATTGAAAGGGGATTTCCAGGAAGGAAGTGCATTACGTCAAATGATGCAGAATGTTGAAAACGTGACATTTTGACAGGTCAAGTCATAACTCCTTGTCTACTTCCCATCCTACCGTCGTTATGGTTTCCTTAAGGAAATCAAGCAAATCGCCTTCTCCTTTCGGTCGCTCTTAGTTCTGTGAATCTTCTCTACAGATTGATGCTCCTGAGATGACTTTATCTAACATGTCATCAATAAAGACCAGAAACGCTAGTGAACTTAAGATTATTCCCTTGTGAAACTTACGAAGTTGAGACCCCTTAACTTGCGTTCGCACCGTTTGCCCTGATACGAAACATCCTGTTCTTTAGGTAGTTTCGAGACCAGGATAAAAGTGGGTCAGCGGAAATCATATTTTCAGCCTTCGTTATGAGAGGCACCTGCAATCCTGTAATAAAGGCTTTTGTGAAGTCGAGAAATATTATATGTACCTATTTCCCTTTGTTCCAGTAGATCGACCGGCTTTCTCATGCTATGAGGATATTAAATGCATGTGACCAGCATTTCATGACACTGTGTGACACCTGAAAGGTGTGTACAGGTATTGGTTCTAATCACACGATATTCGAAGCCGAAAATTTACATTCCACATCTAACAAGTAGACAAGGTCAACATTGATGGATGCCGGTAAAACTAATCAAAATGGAATGGTTGGGTCATGCGATTGTGGTCACCTTATGTAACTGACTGCTTTTTATGTTGAATATAGTTCTCTGTTCTCAACACAAATGTATTCTTCAAAAGTGCCAGACGTCATATCGCTGATTGTCACGTAGGACGAGTCAGTGCAGAAAATGCTGAAATTTCGGCGTAGGATCCTACAGATTACATAGTCACATCATGGCATATATACAACTTTGAGATTGTGTCTATTATTGTAGTGTCAGACATAAGTGTATCAATACCGAAATAAACTTTATAATCTTACATCAGTAAGACTGACTAAAGAAATGCAGCCTGTTATTCATCCTCATATTCACGTTAACTTGATCGATTGAGTCTTACTCGTGTTAAACCACTTTTCTATTATTCTGTTGATTAATAATTACGTGTATCGTCGTATTATAATATTGATTAGTACTCACAGTTTACTGGCTCGGTCGATGATAGTAACCGATCGTCTATAGTTGTATTTAGGTATGTTGGTTTCGAGCCTGTAGGAAACCCTCCTTCTACTAATAGAAGAAAGCATACTAATAGTGAAAAGGTCTTTATTTAGATCGCGTGCCCATCACAGTGGAGCGGGGGATTACCTGTTCAAACACACAAGCCTTTCAACATTCAGTGTAAGATTATAGGAAATATAATGCCTATAAGAAATAAGGAAGCGAATGAATACTTGAGCTCTATTGTTTTGACATATACTTGGTTGTTTGAGTTCAACTCTAAGTTTTTACAATGGTTCATTAACAATATTTGATAGCATTTACATGCTTCAGTGAAATAGATTTGTTAAAACATCCACCACTAGCGAATATGGCTCTTGATCGACGTAAATACACATAATCTGGAAATTAACGTAAGCAAAGAATAGACAGTTATCCTGATCTAATTCCTCATCTTGTTTCTTCGCTTAGCATTTTGCTCTATACTAAACTATGGACTATTCCCTAATATCCTTTTTTCGACCACTACCTGCCTAATTTCCAATTCTCTAGATTTATTGCCAGATGACGCGAACGATATTACAGAAACTTACGGTGGGTTTAACTTATGCAGCTTCTACTGTCTTAGGCTCGCTAGAGATTGTTCATATAATGAGATCCACGTAATCTTCTGGACTTTAGGATATGCACTAATTCAACCGAGTGACAGGTCCATAGCATCAAGAACTATATTAGACTCGAAATTGTTTGAACACTTCCTAGTTCCATCTTTACCATGTATTTATGAAAGTTACTCGGTTAACCTAAGAAACTGCCAGTGAAAATGCTTTATTGTACCCGTCATGTTCCTAACTGTGATCCCATAGGTCATGTCCCAACTTTTAAATCTTTTCTGTTCATTTTCTTCTTCAGTTATTATATTCCTTATCAATAAATATGTTCATGTGGCTTGTACACATGTTTCATTATGTCATTTCTAGTCTACGACATCGAGATATTGTCGTACTGGACCGAAATAACTACTAAACCTTCACGTAGTTGTTAGTCGAGCAAGCGTTCAAAATAAAACTCTGAAACCAACAATTAAAATCAACACTAAGTGAACGAAAATGTCTGGATCACAGTTTATAATATTATCAGATAGTTTGTATGTTTTAAAGCTACAAACTTCTGACATTTTCGAATAACCTAAAACAACGATTCGTGTTTCCGTCCAGTTAATCCCCGAATAACACCGAATAGTTATTCATGATGGTTTCGTCATAATACGTTGTCATGATTTGACGATCACGTAATATGATTGATAAAAGCGAAGAAACTGTTAATACAAACTCTAGATGAGTCTTGAGATCAGAAATCTTTGAATAAGAATTCCAACAGCCACCAAAAATCAACGACATCACTTATTCTAATCTAGGCTGTTCACGTAGTACAGTACATGAATGCGGGCTGCATTATAACACGCATTCAACTTAAACTAATCATTTGAAAACTAGTCCTTCCAAAGGTAATACACAAGATGACCTGGGTGAACTTGAATTCATCCGACAGACATTAAGGTAACACCACAGCTCTGCCAACGAAGGGTGCGGAGATTAAATCCGTATATCAAATAATGAAATACGTAAGATTCAATTCCACTGCTCTATCATTCTATCAGCAACAGTAGACAGATCATTCGCACTGATATCGTGTGACCTATCTTCAACACCTCTATATGGGGAAAATGATGGTGAGCACGAGAGCAACCGACCTTTGAACACTCAGATTAATGAAAATTGTGAGAGTACAGGTCACTACGCTGACCCAATAAAGCCCAAGAACTGTTGATAAGTATGGTAATAACAGGTTTCTCACCCTACACTCTACATCTATTCCTCAATATTACAATGGCTGTTACTCTAGGAAAGAACTCTTCACACTCTTCAATACCGACTTAACCAGTACACAAAAATGGCCATAATGACTTTAAATTACGTACAGCAGATCCCTTCCAAGCTTAATCTTAAGCAAATAACAACAACCCAAGACTGTGTTGCAGGCAGCAGCAGGCCAACACAGTCATAATTAACATTGTTTATTAAATTAACATTGTTTATGACAAACTTGAAGGAGTGTGATCGGCCATTGTATGAAGTACAGTCATAGACGGTCAAACAAAATGAGGGTGGTGGTGGCGCTTCATAATGTTTTTTGTTGGGTTCGCTTATTGATCACGCCCAAAACCCTTCAACTCTCAGTATAGGGTCCAATTGGTTCAGCTCATTTTTTCTGATTAGTACGTTTGTGACAGCTTTTTTCAACTGGATGCATTTGCTAACTCCATGACCAATCTTCCTCTCTTATTTGGCTTGAGACAGGCAATGATTTCAGGAGAACACCAGGCGGAGCTAAAGTTACAAAAAACAAATACCTTTTTGCGCCCCCTTCTTAACGTTAAAGTATGTTTTCAATTCAGTTGTATAGCCTAAGCTAAACAGTCTAGTTAATTTGACTTACTAGTCTCATTGAAGTTAATAGCTAACCGGAGCTTCAGATTTCTTAAGTGCATGCGCATGCGCTTACTTTAAGATAGTGTGGATTACTAGATCCAAGAGAAATCATATTATGAGATAGAAGATCGATTAAGTGTGATGTGAAAAGTTTGAAAACTGAGACAGAGAGAAGAGGAAAGACGATAGATATCGGAATGAATAAATATTTAACCTGGGGAATAATATTATCTAACAAAGCCCATTAATAATGGAGTGACATATTTGATGAAAGGCGAAGCATGTGGTTGTGAGCCACTGGTTACAGACACTGCATTGGCAGTAAGTAGAATGTGCGGAACATTCATAAGACCCGGCCGTCTCAGAAAATAGCGGTCAGTCATGGGTGAACACGAAATTTTTCGACCTATTCTCTAAGCTATCCACTGAATGAACAGTGACTGAGTCAGCCTGAGAAGCATTTCAAATAGGGCCAATTTTCAATAGAAGCAAGTATGATCTTATTTGAGGGTTACTGCTTCGATGAATATTTTCGGTGGATTGCCCCGTGAAGTGCAATACTGAGTTTTGGTCAGGGTGTTTAATTGAGATGCTTGGGAGTGCTTGGTATATTGCATGTTTTATCAGGTCTCCATAAATCATCTTGCGACTTGGCAAGAACAATCTTAGAGAGCAATCTAGGTCTTCTCAGAGCTCATCCCTTAATTTTATGACTCATTTTGTAGGGTGTCTCTGTACTTGTTTCAAGGGATTATGGAGGAAGGAGGTGGAACACACAAATAGAAATCGTGCTCTTTCAGTCCGGTATTGCCTCGCAGATCTTCCACCGATAACCAGAAATACCCGCTTTTTCACCACCATGTAGAAATGTTTGAACACCTCTAAGGACATGAACTAAACATTCGCCTGCCTGATAAACAATCACAGCGAAAATTCTGACAACAATGTTCATAGCGAGGTTGAACTGTCGTGCAGTATGTTAAGCCGTTACGATCAACTAATCTCCTCCTAGTCACTCCAGCTGTACCATACACCTATCCACTTTCTTACAAAAATGTGGCTTGAGAATAAGTTACTGGATCCAAGGGAAGTTGCTTGCTAGAACGGTCAAAGTTAACGTTGGGATTTATACGTCTTTCAGATTTTATTTGTGTGTACCAAATGTTCACTCATCCTTAATATTTTTCTTCTTTAAAACCTTCGTTTCGCATACTTCTTCCTTAATTTATCTCACATTTTACTCCCCTATTTATTAAGTAGCATGCAGAGTAATAGCTTTGCCATCAGTACTTACGTTGTAACTACAATTATGTGTAATGTGTGCTAGCGTTCAATCATAGACAGTTCTTCAAAACGTTTGTAGTTATATGAAATGGAGGACGAAAACCGTCGTAAAACCTTCCTTATAATTCTTCGAAGACGACTAGTGGCTAAGAGACGAAATTACACTTGTAGCTCATTGTTATTCTTGTCCGACATTAATTTTTCATTTCTGTATAATGAATATTAATTGCAACATATATTTTAATTTCAGTGGTATACTTATTCCAGACATGATATTCTTTGTATTGAATTAAGATGAACTATGTTCAGCGTGAAATGAAGTATTTGGTTTTACTATAATTCCGAGGATTTTTTTATGTGTCCTTTTAGTAGTTAACAATCAAATGGTTGTACAAATCAATGTACAAATGAGTGTACTTTCTACTACAGTTTTCATCACATATTCGCGATGACAGATTCTCACTTCTAACAGTTTTGGTGTATTTACTTAACGTCTTTGGGATTTCTTGTTTCAGGAATAAGTAACCAATGATACAGAAATAACGAGTCTTAACTAGAACACGTCTTTCGCCAAAAAGAACTGATGAAGAAGTGAGCATACAAGGCATGATACTTCCCAGTTACGATGGGTACACCAAACAAGTGAAGTGGCGATATAAATTAGCAGTCACCTCAAAGCCATGATAACACACAGTGCTGAACTAACTGAAGTGATGGAATCATGACGGTGTTGCTTCGCTGAGAACGACCGAAAGTACTTGATTGGAGAGACATAACGCCCCCTCCCGAATATTCCAACGTTCAAAAGATAATATTATGCAAGGTATAATAGAACTACTGCACCTGTGCTTCCATTAAATACTTCTATTTGGAGACCTGAACACTCAACAACTAAGCCTCACCAAGCAAAATATAACCCAGTCCAAGTGATTTCATAAGAGACTTGCCACAGCCATTAGAAGTACAGAACTGGCTGAACATGTATGTGACTCCGTGAGATAGGACAGGAAAAGAACACCAACACCAGGCCTCTCGAGGTAACCCTCGAAAGATTGCCCCATTTGGAATGCTTTCCCATCTGAAGTGACCACCACCCTCTCAGTAAATGGCTTTCAGCGTGGACTTGACGGACATGCACTAACTCATGCATTACCATCTCTCTCTTCGACCAGCTGTGTCTGATGCATGCCTTACAACGTGCCAGGGTCATAATCACCACATATCAGTAACTATTCCCTATTTCCCTCGTTATCATCTCTTTTTCCTCTCTCATCCTTTCGACTTCATCTTCTTACACGTCACCAATTGGTTATTCCTTTCTGAAGCCGTCGTCTTTTCTTAGCACTCGAATTATTCATTACTTTTTCATTGCAAAAATCTGATCTCCTGACTGATGGTGTGATAGCCGCTGGTACCAAGAAACCTTACCCCACTGAGACAAATGCACTCAATTGAACTACTATGTGTACACATCCACAATGGACTGCCAAGCTGACTAGAATTAGTGTAGTAAAATGTCTAGACTACCATCGATTGGACATCACTAAATACCTGGAATGGTACTAGGATAATAAGAAGCGAACTCAAAGAAATTAACCAGTTTATAGAAACACTTGAGAAAGTTGTTGGATTTCTGAATTTACTCATTGGTTGAAATAACAGTAATTCTCAAAGGACGTATAGTCGTCGAGTTGTCAGGTTACGAATGTCGTCATAATTTTTTTGCAGTGTTCGAATTCAGGAACAATCTATTAAGCTCGTAGTAGTTTTTTCTAATCATCTCTGTGTCATATTCTGAAAAGTCGCGGTCGAATTGTTCGATGTCCTTGAAAGGGGTCAGTTTTTATTATCCTGATCCCTGAGATTCTGCTTCCTACTTTTTATGTTCTCTGTGTTTTTAAATATTATTTACTTTTGAAAATGGCTATCATTTTGTCTCGGTTAGTGGGTAGTCACATTTGTCATGTGTTCTTTGGATGGTCGTTATTCCACTAATATGGTAACAACTGGTTTTTCAAAGTTGTCACCTTGTCAATTTCCCAGTTAATGAAATCCGTTTCAGCTGTCAAGGATAAAATGAGGTTGATGCTCCTATACCATGTTTAACTGGTATTACGTTTATTCGATCTATCTTTGCTATTTTTATCTGATCGTGCTAATGTGGTATGGCAATTTTGGCCAACCGACATATGTCAGGCTCTATGTTGTTGACATACGTGGAGACTTAATCAACATGGAGCCTGGCAAAAATATGCGTTGTTCCAAGCTGCCATTCTGTATTTTGGTAATGCGTTTGTCTGTATGCTAAACGTACATTTCAATTGGACTTTGTCTGAAAAGAGGTTTCTTAGTAGTACAAGTGTTTTTTTGGTTAGTCTACCAAACCATTGGTTTTAAATGTGATTGATATTTCCTCTGTTATCGTCATATTGAAAGAATACCGAGGTCAAGTAATGCGTTCGCTCTTAACGAGGGGTATTATTTAGCTTTTAAGTTTATCTTGTGATAGTGCCTTACGATTGACGAAAATTAATTTTGCGTTCATCGCCTAATCCCATTGTGCACCAAGGGTTGTTTTCCATTCTTGAGGAACAGGAAAACAACCAGTTTATTCGATAACCTTATAATTGGCAGTTACTGGTGTATGGCTATTCTTTAAAATTCACTGACGTGATGTTAACAAACATGGATCATAGTCAAGGACCACAGACTGAAAGGCAATACCAAACCATATCTAGAAAAAATTTCTTACTTGTTCCTACAAGCGTCTACTGAGTTCTTAAGTGTATCTATAAGGTTTTTGTCTTTATGTTGTACCCAAATGAGCGTACCTCCTTCAGTATAATCCAGTAATATTTGGGCGATACGTCATTGTAAGGGTCTTAGCTGAACTTTCAAACTCGGGCTCCAGATAAACCTGGATCACTGTTTTTAATTTTCTTAGTTGGGAAGTGTGACTACAAGTTTCAACATACAAAAACTTGAAGTCCATCATGGTTATTTCGCGAGTTCTCACATTTTTTTTGAGTGTGTGATTTGCAATGTTAAACCTTACACTTGCACCAAATATCCATGAAGCATGATTAAATGTTTTGTTTTTAGTCTTACTACTTAAATCGGCAGCTTAATTTATAACATAAACGACGATTTGATGTGATATCCGTGTGATATATTTAAATGAAAATAATTTGTACGGAACTATTAACCAGTAATTTCTTCATGTTGGATAACTTAATCGACATCTTATCAATAAATCCCTTTTCTTTGTTTTAGTAATTCCAACTTATTAAATATGCTCTAGATTAATCAGTCAGATTTAACATTTCACTTCAGCCGCACAAAGATGGTGAATACAAATTTTAATTTATCACATATTTAACATTTCACTCATTTGTATCATCAATCGCTTCATATGTGACTTATCAATTCATTATTAGTACCTATTCTATCAAACAATATGATCATTTTACGAATTTATATGCATTTATTTAAATTATCATCATTATTATTAGTCTTTATTTTATTCGTATCTTCTACTAATTTGTCTAATTCTACAAATTCTGCTAAAAGTTTATTGTCTAAACAAAATATCATTTCGCCAGAAGATCATTTAATTGAAATTATTTCTAATAATTCTATAAACTATGGTTGTGATTTTAATCAATTACAATTTTGTTCATATAAACATTCATCTGATTGGAGTTTTCAATTAAGTTTGAAAGAATTTGCTTTAAAAATGAAAGAAGCAGCTGAGACAGCTGCTAAAGTTGTTCAAAATTTTCAAGATAATTTGTCACAAAACAATAATAATAATACCAACAATACTATAAAAAGTCAGGTTAGTATAATGCTTCAATTTCTATTGAACTGTATCGTTTAAAGTTCTATTTGATTATGTTTTATGTGGTCAAAATGTTCGAAAAATAATTTGAACTGTGTTCAGAATAATGGACTTCACAGTTAGTATTCAGACAAGAAATCAACCTGTAAATTCATTGTCTGCGTTGACGTCCACCATGTAAGCAAGTTTAGAATCCGTTTTATTTATTGGAACACAAATATTGGTACAAAGAAGCAGCAGATATAAATGCGCCGCACAAATCCCATTTGATTTGTGTGAGGGCTGTGATACTGCCAGGTGCCCAAACTAAAGCAGGTGGTTTACTTAGGAGGCCATACTCGGAGCCTTTAACCTAAAGGTCTGATCCACAAGTCAGTGGAACAACATAAGGAGATGCAGCCACATGGTAGCCAGTCATCAAAGATTCATACGCCATTTGTTTCCATGAGGATACTGGGGCCCATGTGCACCATTGTTTTGGAATGAGGGTTTACTCATTCACCTAGGTGAATCCTCCGTGTCCACCGACCCGGTTAAAGCGCCGGACATTCACTTTTCGTCCTCTCAATTTCGTAAACAACACCCCCTTAACGAGAATGCAGTGAGTAGGACTTCCCTGACAGAGGTTATATACGCGTGGCCGTGTGAGAGCATTTGGAGAAGGAGAGCGGACTCTCCCCACTCTTGGCCGTACCAGGGCATGCATAGTTAAGATAAAGTCCTTGATTGTAGACCTAAAGTGACACGACTCTGAATCAATGACAGGAACACAAATATGATTATTTATGTTCCTCTAATTATTCTCACTCAATCCTCTGATTTTACTCGTGCGTTACAGCTTCTTCGATACCTAGGTAATTGTCTGTATCAAGTGTGTAGATTCTTGTTCATAACCATTATTGTTATTTATAAAAAACATACCATTCGTGTTTGTAAGAAATATGCGAACTATCCTGATTTCTTATATGGCGTGAGATTGCAACCATTACATCTGCTAATTAGACTAAGCTTAATTACATACTCATTTATTTACAGGCTAAATATTCAGTCGGTTGAGAAACTGGTCGATACGGTTATTAGTTTGCTTTACCATCAAAATGCAGGATTTCGGTTGTTTGTAAAACGTATTTAAATAAAGTAAATAACAAACATTGGTTGCAAGTTTTTGATTATAAAATTTTAAAAGCATTTGCCTGAAGTTAAATTATTAATGAAGTGAATGTAGAGTCTTAGTTAGATTCGACAATTGGATTAATGTAGCTATAATCTTTCATTGACTGGTTTGGTTCGGACATGAGTAATATATACATTGTCATTGTCTGTCTTGTAATATGCTGCTCACCATGCGAGAATAGACTGAGAAGGAGCTAGAAATTCATAAACGTAGGAATATGAACGTAATCCATGAAGTCATTAAATGTTTCTAGTTGTTCAGGCTTACTGATCAAAGTCTTCATCATACAGTTGATTCATGGTTAGAGAACCTTGAGACATGACAAGTGGATTCATTATTTATCTTTTTGTAATGCTTGAAGTTAGCATCGTCCTTTCAAATCGTATCTTCGATATTTAACCTTTCCTACCACCGCTATTACTGTTACTATCTGTATTTCTTTGAAATTCGGTTTAAGAATTTCATCTCATTGTACTAATGGGGTGTGACAATTTAAACGGACATACAGATATGCCAGGTTCTATGTCGTATATTACCGACTGGTATTCTTCAGTGTTCTGTGTACTTTCCGGATTATATTGCCTGCGATTTTATATAGTTAAGATCATGAGTCAATTGAAACTAGACCACTGTAGAAAACCTGGAGGCACTGGACGGCCGTTTCGTCCTATTGTGGGACTCCTCAGCAGTACGCATCCACGATCCCGCCTCTCGGGATTCTATCTTAACTATATAAAATTACAAATTACAAATCACAAAACTTCCTTGTGATATATTGCTTGTGCTTAGTTCCATACTATTCCTACTCTTTTAAATGATAATGTATTTTTTATTGTGTAACAAGGAAAAAGAAAAAAATCATTTTGTAATCTTTAATCATTATAGTATAAGTTTATGTCCTTATTTTGAATGGTTTCTCATGTACTAATTTTATTACTGTACTTTTCAATGTGTATTTGTATTAAGACAATAAAGTATATCACTAAGCTTCAAAAAAGTAATTTGTCGGCGGTTTATTTACATGTGATCGGAAGTGTAAAGATGATAAATTTAGTACATAAATTGTCTCTCCTTACAAAGTATGTTATGTATATATTTTAATAGATTCAATATAGTGTTACTTGTTTAGTCTTAATAACTATAATTGAAAAAATAAGAGTGAAGTAATATGATAGATTATGAAAAATAAGTCAAATCCAGATAATTGAATTAAATAAGAGGAAAATGACTTCTATTTTTTTGAATGCCCTGGTACGGCCGAGAGTGGAGAGAGTCCGCTTTCCCTTTCCAAATGCTCTCATATGGCCACGCGTATATAGCCTCTGTCAGGGAAGTCCTACTCACTGCATTCTCGTTAAGGGGGTGTTGTTTACAAAATTGAGAGGACGAAAAGCGAATGTCCGGCGCTTTAACCAGGTTGGTGGACACTGAAAGTCCATCTAGGAGAAGTGGAAAACCCTGATTCCGAACGAATGGTGCACATGGGCTGGCTCCAGTATCCTTAGAGAACAAATGGCGTATGAATCAATCGTTAATCACCGACTACCATGGGACTGCATCTTCTCACGATGCTCCACTACCTTGTGGATCAGATCTTTAGGTCGAAGGCTTCGGGGTGGACCCTAAGAAAACCACCTGCTTCAGTCTGGGCACTTGTGCAGTATCACAGTCCTCACACAAATAAAATGAGATTTGTGTGGCGCATACGTAACGCGTGACCCAACCATCAGTCAATGAAGATTCATGACCTCATCAACTGGTTTACCGTCATTTCCTAATACCCTGTGTCTAACTTCACTATTACTTACCCGGTGATCCGAGCAGATGCGAGCAATATTTCTAAGGCATCTGTGGTCAAATACTAGTAACTTACGAGTATCTCCTACTTTTAATGGCCACGTTTCACAGCCTTAAAGTAGAACAGAGCGAACTGCTGTGCAGTATACTCGTCCCTTAATTGATAGACGGATATCTCGTTTTCGCCATAGGTGACGTAAGTTGACAAAAGCCCCTAACTCTCTTCCAACCATCCCCAATACCAGTCAACATTACGCTTTGTGGTAATCAATGTTCTATAATATTCGTTCAGCTTTGTTATTAATTAGTCAAATATTTTAGTTACCTTTTAATAATGCTAATTTCTGCCTAAGATATTGTTATAATTCATTGTCCCCCTAACACTTTTATTTCTCTTTTTAGTTTCTTTCTCACCAATCATTATTTCCCTTTGTACTTGTGGTCTTTGTTTTTGTTATTGTTTTTTTTTCGTTGCTCAAATGAATCCATTTTTTATTTTGTTGTTTCATAATTTTTGTTTGCTACTATCTTTAATATCGCGCTGACCAATCAAACATAAGTGAGATGATAGACGTACACTACTGGCCAATATTTGGCTTTATTTTCTAAGGGATATATATATATATATATATATATATATATTGTCGATTCAGTCGGTGAAGATTTCACTGAAGTGGCTAGTTTGGCATCACATTCAGGAAGCTAATCTTTCAGTTGCAGAATAAGAAGCAACACAGCGCAATAGCTAGTTTATTGTTGCACAATATTCGTTTACTAGCATCTTTAAGACTTTATATGAATTTATTTGTGCCTATGTGTTAGTTTATGCTGGTGAGCGGCCTATGCTCCTTGACGAGGGGTAACAGGCGTAAGTAAGTAAGTATGTGTTAGTTTAAGTAGTCTACGATTATATAATTGTGCAGCTATATACATATGTTTATTTAATATATTGTATCTGTTTACTCCTGATGATACTTTGACGGTAAACATATCTAACAGTAGCCAATGAAGCGATTTAATCGATATCTTGGATGTGATTTTCAGATGTTGATCATGTACAAGTCTAACATTAAATCTATTCTGTTTTATATGTGATGTTTTACTATTATGGCTACGTGAACATTGGTTATTTGATGAACTTCACTTTAAACTTTTTCAGTATTTTGTAATTTGTAATTCATATGCTCAAATATACTGCCAAATGCCCTGATACGGCCGAGAGTGGGAAGAGTCACCTTAACTTCCCTTCCTCCCCCCCTCTCTCTCTCTCGAAACACTCACAAAGTCACGTGCATACAACCACTGTCACAGAGGTCCTACTTACTGCATTCACTCGGCCGGGGTGTTGTTCACAAAATTCATAACACGATAAGCGAATATCCGACGCTTTAACCTGGTTGGTGGACATGTAGGGTCCATTTAGGGGAGTCAGAAAACCCTGATTCCAAACCAATGGTGTACATGGGCTCCAATATCCTGAGGTAACAAATAGCGTATGAACCAATCGTTGATCACCAGTTAACATGGAACTTCATCTCCTTATGTTGCTCCACTACCTTATGGATTAAAGCTGTAGGTCAAATACTCCGGATGTGGCCTTCTAAGAAAACTACCTGCTTCGGTCTCGGCACTTGAACAGTATCCCATCCCTCATATAGATCGAATGATTTATGTGGCGCAGATTTATTTGGTACCTCCTTGTACCAATGTTTATGTGTTTAAATGAAATAAAATAAAATAAATACTCAAATATTTAGTTACAGATCATGTTTTCTGAAATCCCTTACCATTGAAATTGGTGAAGTATATCGACTTTTTGAGTAAATAATTAGCTCGATTACTTCAGATATTTCAATCTTTGCTTCAATTACAAATAACATGACACTTAAGTAATTCAAACCGTAACACTATCCATTATAATTCAGTAATTTAATGGACAATATGTTAACGTCTAAAACGATGGGTACTGGTGCTCTTAGTCTCGTTGTAAAAATCAATACTCGTAAATAAAACACATTAAATGAAC